CTCAGGGCACCTCTCCTACTACCTACCAAAGTGGATGCCAGTAGGTATGGGGTCGGTGACCAAGGAGAAAGAGTAGGCCCTGCACTTGGCCCAGCTCCCTTTCACTCCCTAGAAGTGGCCACCACATCCTCGTGGCAACCTGGCCCCAGCTCTGCCCTGGCCAACAATCTCAGGAACAGGCCTTGACTCCAGAACAAAAACAAGAGAAAGGTGTCTGTGAGGACTGGACAGACAGGGAGGAAACCCTGACTTTGGGGGTACCTCCCCATCTCCTGGACCAGCACTTACCTTGGTCACCACGATAGGCGTGTGGAAGTCCCTGCCCCCAGAGATTCGGAAGCCCCAGGGCGCCGGCCCCACCACATCCACTGTCAGTGCCATACCTGAGGCAGAAAGGATGGGGAGAAGGAGCCGGCCCCTCAGCTCCCCAGGGGGATGCTGTGAAGTGGAGGCGGGGTGTGTGTGACAGTCCCCGGAGCAGCCAGTTAGGGGCTGGGGCGGGGGGAGGGGGTAGAGGAAGTGACTAACCTCTGCCAAGGCCTCAGTTCCCCTTCCCCCCACCCGGCAAGTGGGGACTCTGAGTTCCCCCTTAGCGTCGGTCTTCAGCAGAGCGGCTCCCTGGAGGCAGGCTGTCAGGGTGCTAGACACCGGGGCTTGCTGAGAGCAGGCGGGCAGGCAGGGCTGGCAGGTGGTGGAGGTCAGCACTTCCTGTCCCCTCCTCCACTCTCAACGCTAAGTGCCCCCAGTGCTGGCTTCCGGTCCCCAAACCCGACTGCACAAGGTACTTCCTCCCCGCTCTGGGGGAGGACGACACTCAGGGAACAGAAAGGGGTGGCACCTCCGCAGGCTTTCAAGTAGCTGGCAGGGGGCGCGGGTGGCTGGGGTTCTCGAAGGGGGCCTCCCAGCTGCCTACTGTGCCCCTGGGAATGTGGTTCGAGCGGCAAGACAAGGCTTCCCACCTCTCCCAATGGCCTGCTGCCCTCCCTTCTTGCTTTTGCAAGAAGGACAGGCTCATCTGCCAAGCTGGGCACACCCACCCCAGGGCGCTGACCAGCAGGGCGAGCTGACGGATGCTGCCGCCGAGCTGGGGCCACGGGACTCCCATCCAGGGCCCCTCCACTGGGCAAGGGAGTGTCCCTGTAGACCAGGCCCTTGTAGGATTTCCTGACCCTCTCGTTCTGGAGTCAGGAGCCAACCCAGGCAGGAAGCTGTAATGCCAGGCTGGGCCACCACCCTGCCCAGCAGCCACCCTGGGGCTGCCCGTGGGGAGGCCCACGGAGTACAAGTGCTGCCCAAGTCTATCAAGCACGCTGGGACCACTTCCTGCGTTTAGGAGACTGGGGAAAGGGTGCCCGGGCCAGCGAGGTTGTCTGCCCACTTCTCCACCCTTCGGCTTCCCCTTTTGCCCGGCCCCAACCTCTCTGTCCCTCCCGCAGGCCCCAGGTCGGCGCTGGCGGCTCGCAAATGCCTTGGATTCCCAGACCTTTGAGCTGGTCAGTGGACTCCCCGCCGGGGGCAGCGAAGAAGTGCCCAGCCCGTCGGCCCGGCTCGCCCAGTTCAGGCGCCTTCTAAGCTCTGAGACCAAAGTACCGGTGCGCCTGGGGGCTGAAGTAGGAGCGCCCGGGAGGGGAAAGCCCAGCTCCAGGCGGGGAACCGACAGCAGGCGAGGCTGCGGGGAGCGGCCGTGCGCAGAGGAGAGGTTCGGGCGCCCAGGGAGCCGCGGGCGCACAGAAGAGCCAAGGCGCCGGGGCCGGGGAGGACGCCGGCCATGCGCCCGGAGCACAGGTGGGCGCGCTCACCTGGCTCCCGCTCACCTGTCGGGCTGGGCGGCAAGGCCCGAGAGCGAAGGGAAGGGAAGGAGGGAGGCGAAGAGAAGCCGCCGCCGCCGCCGCCGCCGCCGTCCCTGACACCCTCAAATCCCAACGCGGGGGGCCGCGCCTCCGCCTCCTTGCCCGGCCAGCGTGCTGGCGGGCCGGTGACCACCGACTGCTGCGGTGCTTTGGCTGCGCAGAGCTTCTCGGCCTGAGATGCATCGCTGGCCTGTGCCACTCAGGGCAACGCTCCAGGCCCAGTAAGAGATGAAGAGGGCCTCCAGCTGGAGGTGATCGACCCCCCTCCGGGACTACACATATCCCTCAATCTTGTGCGCTGATGCCCGTTCCATTCCTGACTGCCTTCCTCTCACCCTCTGGGTCGCCCCTACCCGGGGCCTGCCACTCCCAACAACCACTACTGGCCCATGGTCCCCTGTGCCCCCAGCCCTCTACCAGCCACCTGGGTCCCTGGCTCTAGGGATCAGGAGAAGACAGCCAAGGAGGACAGCCCAGGTGTCATCAGCTCAGAACCATCCAGCAAACGGTTCCCTGTGGAGCCAAACCAGGTCCTCACCCTGGGAAACCTCAGGGCCTTCCAGAGCCCGCTTTCCCATCTCCCGCAGGTCTCCACTTTACTCTGGGCGCTTGGCGGTAAAGAATCTGCCTGCAATGCAGGAGACCCTGGTTCGATCCCTGGGTCTGGAAGATTCCCCCAGAAAAGGGAAAGGCTACTTACTTCAGTATTCTTGCCTGGAGAATCCCATGGACAGAGAGCCCTGGGGGGGCTACCATCCATGGGGTTGCAGAGTCGGACACAGCTGAGACTAACACCATCAGGCTCGCCTGTTTCCAGCACAGCACACTGTAGGCACAGCTGTAACTTGCCTGTGTCAAGTGTGAGTCATTCCCTCTGAGGTCCCTCCGCAAGGTGTGCCCTCACTTCCCCTCCCACCTACCTATGCCCTCCCTGGGTCATCCTGCCTCTAGTGCAGCTGCCTGCCCATCCCGGCCTCCCACGGCTCTGTCTGGGTCTGTGTAAGCCACTCTCACAGTAACAAGTCCTGGGCCTCCCCGCGATGCATCTCTGCCTGATGTATCTGTCCTGCCTCCCAACTAGACTGAGGCCCCTGAGGGAGCTGGAAGCTGCGGGTAGGACAGGTACTGCCTGGGGCGGGGCTCACCCACAGACCTAACCGCAAATGCCAGATCTGCTCTACCTAGCTCTGTGACCTCGAGCAATTTCCTCAGCCCCTCCCAGCCTCAGTTTCCTCTGCATCAACTGGGGTGATACAGACTACCCTCCTGTTGTACACACTCCCCTCCTCATAAAGTTGCCTGTTCCTTGGAGGGCTGGGTGGGTTTTGTTTACCTTGTTGCTCCATTCCTGGAGTCTAGCACACTGCCTGGCCCCCTCAGCAGGTGCTCCAAGAAACTTTATAAAAGGGATATTATTTGAATGATCGAATGAATTAATTTCCCTCTCCTTGCCGCCCACTCCCATCCTGCCAGTTTGTAACAAGGACTCAATTTTGCCCGTCTTTCGGCTCAGATTTTGCCTTGGATAGACTCTAAAGAGATCTGCAGGTTCATCAGCAGGATTTCTGTTCCATGATTTACAATCATGAAACTCACAACGAAGAGAAAGTCAGTTGACCCTAGGGCACGTCCGTATGGAACAGAAGGTGGACTGTTCTGCCCTTAGCAACTCTCTGGTCCTCTGGGCAAGTCACTCACCTCACTGGGATAAGCACCCTAGTGACTTAAGGTCCTTCCTGGCTCTGACTCTCCCCCCGGCCAGGTCACCCCTCCCGCCTTGTGCTAAGTCAAGGCAGAGAAGGAATCATGTACAGGCAGGGAGTAGGGTTAATTTGTTGCAGAGGCTCCAGGGCCCCACCAAGGAGAGGGTGTGGATTTGGTATCTGCCTTAAGGAAAGGAAGTCTAAGCCCTGAGATCTTTACCTTTCTGAGGGCATCAGGCAACTCAAAGGAGATGGGATGGGCGATCACGAACAGGCTAGCAGGTTCATGGGGAAGGGTCACTTCCACCGCATGGGCTGGGTCTGCCACCCTAGCAGCAGACCATGACGAGGACTGTGGTGGACAGAGGACTGAAAGCACGTCTCATTCTTCAGGCTGCTGTTTAACCATCACTGGAGCCCAGGCCACACCCAGGCTCAAGGAACCTGCCAGGGACTGGCCACAGCCCCATAAATACAGACCTCTCCCACCTGTCTTGACAGAATTAGGAACCATCACCTCTTCCCACCCACCTTGGGTGGGGGTGCCCTAAGTGACAGGCCCAGATGACATGATTGCCAGGAAGAATGTGAGAGAGGCCCAGCCCAGACCCGCCTCAGGTACCTCATGCATGACCTTCCTTCTCCGGGGCCTCTGGACAAGAACTGCCTGGGCATTTGGTAGGCTGTGCAGAGAGGCAGCAACAATCATCAGACCTGACTTCAGCATTTTATTATGATGTGACCCAGACAACTTAATTTCTCTGCCTCAGTCTCTCCTGCTGTAAAATGGACCCATAACCTGCCAGCTGGGATGCTTACATCAAACAACCTGTGGGTAGCACCTTACACTTGGCTCATCTCCCAGCAGTGGCCAAGGAATGGAGCTTGCCTTCCTAATGAGAGCAGCCGGGCCCAGACTGTGCGCCCACAGCCGCCGCCAGGCCCCAGGACTTTGTCCTTGGGCCAGAAGAGTGGCCTTGGCTAGCCGTGCTCCACCACTCCCAGCTTCCTGCCATCGATTGCTCAAAAACCCAAGCCCAAAAAAGAAAGTAAACAAACAGAGAAAGAAAACAAGAGGAGCAGAGCAAACAGAACGTCGTCTAGTTCAGCAACCCCATGGCAGCGCCAGGATCAAACTGCTGCAGACCAGGCCACCTTCAGCTCCCGTCTCTGGTTTCTCCCCACGATCAGGTCTTGCCCCGGGCACTGTGATGTTAGTTCTCTCAGCAGGGCTTGCCAGATCCTCCAGGCTGCCCAATCCTGCCTGAGACCGATCTTTAGAGATAATGATGGGGCTTTTCCAGTCTTCCCTTTCACACACACACACACACACACTCATTCACATCCCACTTGATTCCCAGCTCAGCCTACGGCAGAAAGAATTCCCATAACTGTAAGAGGGAGGAGCCCTCTCCATTCCCCAAAGAAAAGGGACAGGAAGGCAAGGTCCCTGGTACCCAGATTTATTTTACATTCTCTGCTTCCAGGGGGGACTTGGGGGCCGCTGGGCTGGCAGGAGGACAGCACATACCCGTCTCCCTGGAATACATCTGGGACAGGCCAGTCCTCGGAAGCCCCGCTCTTCCTGGGCACCAAGGCAGCCGGAATGATAAGCACGGCCCAGGCACAGGGTTTGGCAGCCTTTGGGCAGAGGGAGCGTTCAGGCAAGACCTCTTGCCAGGCAGCGAATGCTAAGGAAGAGCCATGTCCATCCCCCACCACACTCCCAGGCCCAGCTGGAGGCAGGGAGGCAGAGAGGATGGCAAGCAAGCTGCAGTGACAAGGGAGAAAGCCCTCCAGGCGCAGGCGGCCTTTGGTCTCTATTAGGTTAGGAAGCTGGTTCTTGTTAGAGGAACCCCATGGGGGTAAAGCTGGGAGCCGGCCCCTGTTAAGAGGAAACGCCGTAGCAGGGTGGAGGACTTGGGGGTCTGGTCTCAATAAGGCCTGAAACAGGCTCCACTTCAAAGCAGACCTCTATATTTGGGGAGTGGGGAAGGGGAGGAAATAAAAGGGCTGTTAGAGGAATGCTTGTGAGTCGTGGGTGGGAATCAGTCCAGGGGGCTTCAAGGGAGGTTCTGTAGGAAAGACTGCTGGGCTAGTCTGCAGATGCCAGCAGCTCAGGTCCGGGGTGAGGGGTGTGTGAAGGGGGGGTCCTCGCTCCCTCCCATAAGTGCTCTGTTCCCCACCCCATCCTGGGTGGGCTCTGAGTTGCCACGGAGACCACTCACACCGGGGCTACATAATTTCCAGGGAATGTCCCAAATTTCTGGGTCCTCCTGGAGACACCTGAAAGAGGAAAGACAGAAAGAACATTCCCCACTTTTAAAAACAGGAATGGGGTGAGCTGGGGGGAGGTGAGAGCCCTCTGCTGGTAGTACCCAGGACTGCAGGTGGAATCCAGGTCCCAGGGAAGGAGGATTCTGCTTTTCCTCACTCTTGCACCCTAGAAGCAGAAGCATAGGTGGGCCCAGCCATGCATTATGATGTTGATAATGATGGGTGAATCTGAGCATTCAACCAACTGTGCATAACTCTGCACACAGCCCTGAATAACCCCTCGGGAAAGCAAGGAAGCAGGAGAATGAATCACAGAACTTAAGTAGGGAGGAATCTCACTGGTCTAGTATGACACCCTAATTTTAGAGACAGGGCAGGTAAGGTATATGAGAATACCATGTCAGTTCCCCCAAAGCATTCAGCAGCTCAGAGGTAGAAGCGGGACCAAAATTCAGGCCTCTGTCTACTACAACCCCCCAAAATTTGTGTCCTGGGGTAGAAGAGAAGAAATGCTAGGAGCTACAGGAAAATAAAATTAAATTAAAGTTCTGGACCATCCCTTCCCCTCAGGTAGCCACCCCCTTCCGTGAGCAGCTGAGGGCCCTCTTGCCCCTAGGCCTTACTGATACTCTTCCCCTGCCTAGAGGGCCTCCCTTCTCCTCTCTGCCTCCCCAAATCCTCCCCCCACCTCCCTCACTTCCTCCAGGAAGCCTTCCCTGACCTGCACTGTCCAAAGTGACACTCACATGTGGCTGATGAGCACTTGAAATGTGCCAGTGTAACTGAGAAAACAACTGCTCTCAACCTTCCCTCTAAAAGCCCTTGGGGCTTATTCCACAAAAGTGGTGCTTTTTCCTCCTGTCTTTACTAGGAGTTGTAAAAAAAGAAAAAAATGCAGAAGTAGAAGTGTACAGATTAAAATTAGAATATGTCCCCAAGACTTCAATTAGGTGAACTTGATCAGGTGGTGCCAATAGTAAAGGACCCGACTGCCAACGCAGGAGACATAGAGATGCGGGTTCAATCCTTGGGTTGGGAAGACCCCCTGGAGGAGGGCATGGCAACAAACTCCAGTATTCTTGCCTGGAGAATCCCATGGAGAGAGGAGCCTGGTGGCTATAGTCCATATGGTTGCAAAGATATGTTAATTTTTTAAAGCAAATTGAGTTTGAAGATACAAAAAAGTTAACTGCATAGAATAAAACTTGTGAATGAAAAAAAGAAAAGAATGTGCCCTCAAGCCCACCCATCCAAGAAAAGGACTGCTAACAAGCTGTGTGTGTGTGTGTGTATCTGTATGTGTCTGTATGTATGTATATGTATCTGTGTGTGTGAGTGTGTGTCTGTCTGTATATGTGTGTGTATGTGTATCTATGTGTGTCTGTATGTGTGTGTGTCTGTATGTGTATGTCTGTCTGTGTGTCTGTATATGTGTGTGTATCTGTGTGTGTCTGTATGTGTGTTTGTGTGTGTGTGTCTGTATGTGTGTGTGTGTCTGTATGTGTGTGTGTGTCTGTGTCTGTGTGTCTGTGTGTGTTAAGCTGTGTGTCTGTGTGTATGAAGTCCCTTCAGTTGTGTCTGACTCTTTGCGACCCTATGGACTGTAGCCTGCCAGGTTCCTCTGTCCACGGGATTCTCCAGGCATAAATAGCAGAGCGGGTTGCCATGCTCTCCTCCAGGGGATCTTCCCAGCCCAGGGATCAAACCTGCATCTCTTACATCTACATTGGCAGGCGCATTCTTTACCACTAGCACCACCTGGGAAGCCCCATGCTAATTAGCTGGTGCTTCACAGTTACTGGTGTGTCGGAAGCGTGGTCAGCACTGAGGTGCTGGGATTCAGAGGAGAGAGGAACGCTGTCACTCCTGGGATCACTCCTCCCAAGGCAGCCCCGCAACCCTCCAGGCCCTGGAGCCTGCTGAGCCAGAGCTTCTGGGTGCTCACTGCTCTCCAGGGATGACCCCATCCTCTGAAGCCGTGGCCTGGACCTCATCCGCTCACTCTGGGAAAAAAGCATGCTGAGTGGTCACCGTGCACCAGGCCAAGGCCAACCTAAGACTTCCTGCTTTAGTCCTTGCCTGAGCTGCCCTTGGGCCAGCCTTGAGGGCTCGGATCTTTTTCCTCTCTTCTCTTGGGGGTGACAGAGCTAGCTTCTAGCTATGGGTGGTGGGGGTGGGGACACACACGTGTGAGACCTGGTCCTCTCCATCAAGGGCTCAGTGTCTCAGGAGACCGGCCCCCCCACAACCCTCCCACCCAGGGATGGCTCCACAGACACAGGTGTATGATGGAAGGAACAGAGGCCTGGGGGCCAGGAACCCTGCTGCCCTGAGTCCCACTGGCTTCAGCAATGACCCTGAGCTAGTTTGGTTTCCTCCCAGGCCTCACCCTTCTTCAGGGAATGAGAACAACAGAGTGCTGGCTTTGGGAAAGCAGCCAGTGCTGGGCTGGAAGGGTGGGAGGTGGTCAGCCCTTGAATCTTTGCTGAACCAGTCCTGGCAGGCAGGAGCGGCCACTCAAATCCCCATAGGATCCTGAGATACCCTTTCTGGCCTCTCCCCCAGCCCCTCCCCCCGAGACTGTGAGATACCCTTTCTGGCCTGTCTCCCAGCCCATTCCCCTAGAACTCTGAGAGGCACCTGCCCCCAGCCTGCCCGCCAGGCCCACCTACCCACAAACCAGCCGTCGTCACACTGCTGCATAACGTCCACTCGGTCCCCCTCCCGCAGTTCCAGCTCGTCCTCATTCTGGGGTCTGTACTGGTACATCGCCCGGTACCTGCAGGAAACATTGCCATAGCAACCACCAGGGCCCTAGCCCCTCCCCAGACCAGGCCTGGCTAGTTCCCAACCAAGATGGACACATTCTTGGAATTTCCCAGGTCCCTCCATGCTCCCGTGAGTCCCTGACCCAGCTCTGGGCATGGCGATTCTTTCTGGCTTCAGTGCCTCCATCTGCAGGCCTGCTCCCTGCTCTCCAAGCCCTAATCACCCACACTCCACCTCCCCTGAGCTCTCAATGCCTTCAAATCTATGCTCCACTTTGCGCACACACCCACGCTGACCTCAGCCCTGGAAACCCAGTGAGAGATGAAGGGGAGGAGTGCCCAGTGTGGGAGGCTTGCTCTCAGGCCCAGAGCTGGCAAGGACAGGTCAGGAACCCTGCAGACAAGTGTCCTCCCACTCCCGCACCCCCTGCTCCACAAACACCCCACCAAAATCACCCATAAGCACTGTAAGGACAAGCACTCCTTAGTACAAATTACCCAACTCCATCCTGGGTAGGGAGGAATAAATTAGTGTGTGCTCAGCACTGCCTGCAGAGTAGCCCCCCACCCCGACCAAGCGTCCCAGATGGTGCTCACGGGGTCCAGTGTATCTCGGTGGTGGTGGAGGATGAGGTCCCCAGGTCCTGGGGATGGCTGGAGCCTCCAGGATGGGACAGAGCTGAGCCGGGGGTGCTGAGACTCTGGATCCATAGGAGGGCAGGCAGGCACATGCAAGTACGAGGAAGGAGGCGTGAACCGGCCTGACCCCTCCCCGGGAACAGCGCCCCACGCTGCCTCATCTCATCTCACAGTCCCACTGCACAGGAAGACCTGTCTGACTGTGTGACCTCACAGGTGCTGGGAAGTTGGGCCCAGGTAGAGGAGGTGGCTGGTCTGCACGTGTGCACAGAGCCGGGAGCAGGAGGCGTCCTGTGCATGGCCTCCGTCTGCCCGTCACAGTTTGCTGAGTGAGGGATGAACATAGGAGCACACGCCCCTGCCTGTGGTCAGTGTCAGCCTGACGACCAACAGCCATCATCGCCCATCGCTACTTCCTACCAGCCACCCTCTGCAGTGGGACTCGCTATCCCCATTCTAATGAGGAAACCCAAACCCAGAGAGGGTAAGTCATCTGCCCAAGGTCACACAGCAGGTGAATGGCAGACACGCTGATACAGGTAAATCCCAAGAGTGGACTCTGGGAAGTCAGGAGGCCTGTGCTGGTCTTGGGGTCCCACCTAGAGACCCCACTAGACTATCCTGAGCAGTTGGGGGGGATTCCACAATGCAGAGCCTCCCAGGAATGGGGAATACAGCACGGGGAGCAGGGCTCACTCTCGGGTCTGAGGCAGGTCGCCTTACCTGGGTCTGAGGTCTGGGCTCCTGGGGAGGGAAGGAGAAGCCAGTGCGGCGGGGGGAGGTCTGGCCTCCCCAGTCGGTGGGGTCAGCTGGGCTGTGCGGCGTTAAGGGAGAACTGGGGTGACGGGCCGGGCGGGCGGTGGGCAGGCGGGGAGGAGACGCAGGGAGCTGGAGGCCGTCATCACAGAGCCGGACCCGGGGCTCCCGGGTCACCTGCACATAGCTGGCAGGGAGGATGCCCTGGCGTGCGGTGCCCGAGACGCGGCCCTCGTACCAGTGCTCGTTCACCTTGCGGATCAGGCAGACGCGCTCCCCCTGGTCAGAGAGAGGGAGGGAGGTGGTATCTACAGGGCCCTTGGCTGCCAGGCACAGGAGGGTGCCTACGTGGGGCAGAGTCATTGTAACCTAACACCTTGCATGGAGGGATCAGGCCTGGAGTGGACCAGCTGGTGATACACAGGTCACACGGCTCCATGGCAGGTTGGCAAGGAGCACCGGGCAGGGGTGAGCACCATGGCCATGACTGGGTCCTTTCCTGCCCCCACCTTGGAGGTCATCATAGCATCAAAAAACAAACTCCCTGAGGACAGCTGGTGTGTCCCCAAGCCCACACACTGACTACTGTTAGTGGGGCTGTCCTAGGAAGGACANCTCTCCCGAGGCCAGTTCACTAGGAGCATTCACGGCCTTTGCCCTCACAGTAAACGGAGAGACACCAGCTCCCTTGCTTTCCAGGATATCACTCCATTTTCTTTTTTTCTTTCTTTTTGAATTTTTTGGCGGCACTGCACTGCATGTGGGACCTTAATTCCCTGACCAGGGATGGAACCTGCGTCCCCTGCATTATAAGTGCAGAGCCTTAACCACTGGACTGTCAGGGAAGTCTCAACACTTTTCAAGTTTTCTGAACCATTATCTACATTAAAAAGAATATGTTGTAATATCAATCCACTACACCCCCCCACACACAACTGTCCAAGAGTTGGATGAAATACCCTTTCCATGTGCAAGGTATTCTAAGACTTCCATTGTATTATTTTTAGAATGCTGAAGTGATCCTCACAGCCTACCAACCTGCAACTTGAGAAAAAGCACAACTACTCTAGAAGTTTTGAACATTTTAAAAATGGGCAAGGGACTTCCCCAGTGGTTCAGTGGCTAAGACTCTGCATTCCCAATGCAGGGGGCCCAGATTCAGTACCTGGTCAGGGAACTAGATCCCACATGCTGCAACTAAGACCCAGGACAACCAAATAAATTAATTAAAATAAATGAACAAATAAAAATGGGCAGGAGACTTCCCTGATGGTCCAGTGGTTAAGAATCTGCCTACCAAGGCAGGGGACTCGGGTTTAATCCCTGGTCAGGGAACTAAGATCGTACATGCCGTGGGCAACTAAGTCCCCATGCCGCACCTAGAGAACCTGAGCACCACAACTACTGAGTCCACGTTCCCTAGAATCCTGTGTTGTAACTGGAGCCTGCCTGCCGCAACAAAGAGCCTATGCAGCCAAAAAAATAATAAAAGTAAATAAATAAACAAAAATTAAAATGGGCACAGTTAAGGGAAATATTTCCAAAGAGATTGAGAAAAAAAATCTGAAACACTAGTGAAAATAGGTATGTCTGATTTTTTTTAAAGAATATTTTTACCACGCACATTTCCCTGTGTCTTCACCTGCCTTGCCCTGCCCCACGCCTCCTCCCCCGGCCAAGCCCAAACGTACTTTTCTGAAGGAAAGCTCCACCTCCAGGTCCCCCTTGAAGTTGTACTGGGCCACAGCTTCTCCGTACTCCAACACCTGGTAGGTCGGAGGCTTGATGGGCTTGGGAATCTCATCTGCTGGCAGCACCTGGAGGAAGAGAGGATATGAGATTCAGCTTGGGTATCAACTGGGCACAGACCTGGTCTCTTGGGGAAGCAATATGAGCAAGGTCTATCCCCCAGACCAGAGAGGAGGCAGATACCAAACACAGCCTGGGGGTAGCCAGCAGTGGGCACAGGGCAAGGGGGTAGTCAGTCCCAGAATGCTTCTGGAGGGAGAACTTTCACCAGAGGTTATGTGGAGTGGGCATCATCAGAGTGGACCACGGCAGTGCAAACAGGAGAGAGTTTAAATCGGAGCACAGAAGGACATGAGAAGCACTAAGGAGCAGGGAACTCCTGGTAGCCTGTTCTAAGAGTGAGGATCTACCATTTCACGACTGCTTAGAACCAAGTGTCCCTCCTCCCCCTCCACTTTCACCCCACCGTGTGCCCAGCGTCCCCATGCTCTCTGCGCTTCATCCTACTCAGAAAAATCAAGATGCTGATAAACTAGTGCATACTAATATGTAAGAACTTCCTCGGTGGCTCAGGCGATTGCCTGGTGGGGCAACAGTCCATGGGGTCGCAAAGAGTTGGACGCGACTGAGTAATACTTCCGCACTTCAAGATGTAAATGACTGATGACATGCAATACTGTACATACTTGTGGAACTTCAGGATCAGGGACATCGTTTTAAGGATAGAGGAGGTCTATTGATGCCTATGAGATGAAGAGACTGAAACAGACGACTCAACTGATGGGTCAAGGAGGAAGCCACAAAGGAAATGAGAATAGTCTGAGCTGAATGAAACCAAAAAAACCCAAAATATCAACATCTGTGGGTTGTAGGTAAAGCTATGCTTAGAGGGAAATTTATAGCATTAAATGTTTACATTTAGGAGAAAAAGGTTTCAGATCAATAATCTGAACTACCACTCTAAGAAACTAGAAAAAGAACCTAACACAAGGTGAATGAAGGAAATAATGAAGAGGCAGAAATCAATGAAATTGAAAACAAAAGTAGAGAAAAATCAATTTAACTGAAAGTTGGTTCTTTGAAAAGATCCGNGAACTACCACTCTAAGAAACTAGAAAAAGAACCTAACACAAGGTGAATGAAGGAAATAATGAAGAGGCAGAAATCAATGAAATTGAAAACAAAAGTAGAGAAAAATCAATTTAACTGAAAGTTGGTTCTTTGAAAAGATCCGTAAAATTAACCAATTTCTAGCCAGAATAAGAAAAAACAGATTACCAATGTCAGGAATGAAAGAAAGGACATTACTTTGGATCTTACTGACATTAAGAGGATAATAACAAGCATAGGTTCAGTCCCTCGTCTGGGAAGACACCACATGCCTCGGGGCTACTAAGCTCGAGCACTTCAACTGCTGAAGCCTGAGCTCTAGACCCGTCCTCTGCAACAGGAGAGACCAGCACGGTGAAAGGCCCACGCACCACAGCTCGAGAGTAGTCCCACTGGCTGCAGATAGAGGAAGCCCGGTGGCAGCAATGAAGACCCAGTGCGGTCAAAAATAAATATTTAAGAGAACAATAATGAAATATTATGAACAACTTTATGCTGATAAATTAGATAATTTGAAGTTCCTTAAAAGATGCAAATACTCAATAACTTGTAGCCCCATATCTATCAAACCCAGAACCTTGTCTCTGGATCCAGATTCTAGATTTTTCACTTAACGACTTGGCTCTGAACCTTAGTGCATCTGTAAAGTGGGGGTGATCCCGAGGAAACCAGATCTGAAAGAGACACGTGCACCCCAATGTTCATCGCAGCACTGTTTATAATAGCCAGGACATGGAAGCAACCTAGATGCCCATCAGCAGACGAATGGATGAGGAAGCTGTGGTACATATACACCATGGAATATTACTCAGCCATTAAAAAGAATTCATTTGAATCAGTTCTAATGAGATGGATGAAACTGGAGCCCATTATACAGAGTGAAGTAAGCCAGAAAGATAAAGACCATTACAGTATACTAACACATATATATGGAATTTAGAAAGATGGTAACGATAACCCTATATGCAAAACAGAAAAAGAGACTCAGATGTATAGAACAGACTTGTGGACTCTGGGAGAAGGCGAGGGTGGGATGTTTCAAGAGAACAGCATTGAAACATGTATATTATCTAGGGTGAAACAGATCACCAGCCCAGGTTGGGTGCATGAGACAAGTGCTCGGGCCTGGTGCACTGGGAAGACCCAGAGGGATCGGGTGGAGAGGGAGGTGGGAGGGGGGACCGGGATGGGGAATACATGTAAATCCATGGCTAATTCATTTCAATGTATGACAAAAACCACTGCAATGTTGTAAAGTAATTAGCCTCCAACTAATAAAAATAAAAAAAATAAAAAATAAAAAAAAAATAAAGTGGGGGTGATCTATCACTTTGCCAGGCTGATCGGGGGATTGAGGGAGGTGACACACAGGAAGGAGACGCCACACGTATATGTGATTGGTGAACTGTCTCAGACTTCATATTCTTGTCAGTTGCAATTAGATTTCTTCCCAAAAGACAGCTGGAGATGCAGGTTTTGAGAGGTGGCTTGAGTGGTGAACGTGGGGGATGCTGAGCGGGCTGCTGGCCTCCAGTACAGGAACGGGGCTGTTTGGCTCTTCCCCGTGGTCTGGCCTCCACCTTTAGGCCTACCCTTAACAAACATTTCCTGGAGGGCACGAATGAGGTTGAGACTTGGCCCCTACCCCAGCTCACGGCTTTAGTCTTAGGAAACTTGCCAGGTGTGAGGGAGCAGCCAGTTCTGGAGAGGCTCCCTGGCTGGTTAAAGGGGGTCTGCATTCTCTAAGTCTCTGCAAACCCTTCCGCCCTCCTGGCAGGGCCCCTTGCTCATCACCCCCACTCACCTCCACGTAATTAGCGGGGAAGATGCCCAGGCGGCCATGGTGCTCTCCCTCCAGCCAGTTCTTGTCCACCTCCTTGTGGATGTAGACAATGTCACCCTTCTTCAGAGTCAGCTCCCTGGAGGCCAGAGCAAGGACATCAAGCAATCTGAAGTCCTCAGGGTCCTCCAGACTCTGCTCAGCGCCCCCGGAATCCCTCCCCACCCTCTGGGGGGGCACGCTGCAGTCCTGTCCTCCCAGGGACTGCCACGGGGAAGGCAAGGGGCAGAATGGCACTTACTTAGGGGACTGGGCCTGGAAGTCAAACTTGAGCCGGGCGGCCTTCCTCTGGGCAAGGGGAGAGAACAGAGCAAGTGACCTCGGTCATTCAGCCGGCAAGTAGGCAAGAGCAGTCACAGGGACCCACCCCAGGCCCTCCTTGCACCCTGACCCTGAGAGTCCCACCCCCCCTTACCTTCTTCTCTTCCTTCCTGGCAGGGCTGCCCCCTGGATCAGAGGCACTAGGGTCTGTGGAGAAGCACTGCCTCAGCTTGGGAAGGCCATGGCTTGGGGGGCAGGGCTGGGGTGGGGCTCTGCTCCCCTCCCCCCTGCCCAGGACAGGAACCAGTGGGAACAGGGGGGTTCCGTGACCTTCCTGCCACCTCTGCAGGGGCACCACCGTGTCTGGAGCAGTAGTGGCGGCAGAGGGGGCCGTCTGGGTGAGAACAAGAGCAGGATCTGCTTCTCACCTCGAGCTGAGGAAGGGTAGACAAAGTCCCTCCGACCTAGGAAGGGGCTTCCTCCATCCGCCATCCTGTGGGGGCTCAGGGAGGAAGCCGGGTAAAGTGCATTCGGGGAGCTGGAGCTCCAGGCGGAGGCCGGGCTGCACGGGGACGCACGAGTGAGTCACCTGTCTGAAGCTTCACCCGCGACCCGGCTCCCCACTGCCCGCCCGAATGCCCACCACCCCCATCACTCCCTCCCCCCATCTCCCCTACCCCAGCCCTCCTCCTCCCGAGGCATCTCCCAGGTCCCGGGCCCTCGGCAGGATGTCCTACTTCCCGAGCGGTCAAGGCCGGGAAAGGGTGCGGCCCGGGGGTGGGGGAGGCGGGAGCGAGCGCGGGATCCCCTCGCAGCTGCGACCCGAGCCCCGGAGCCGGGGAACCGGCTTCCCTCGGCGGAGCAGGGACGGCCCCCCACCCCGGCAGACGAGCGGCGGATCAGGTCCCCGCCGGCCCCGGTCCGCGCTCTCGCCCCTCCTCCCGCCGTCGGCGTCCCGGGCTCGCCACCCCTCCCCGCGCCACGTCTCAGCCGCCACTCACCGCGCTGGGGGCCGCGGTTCCCGGGACCGTCGGGGCGCCTGAGAGCTCTGTGCGGGAGACGGGCGCCGTTAGGGCCCGGGACGCCGCCTCCGGAAAAGTTTGCGGCCGGGAAGGGAGCGGGAGGGGAAGCGGGAAAGGAGGGGCGGGAGGGACGCGGGGCGGCGGGCCGGGAGCGGGAGGAGCGAGGAGCCGGGGGGAGGGACCGCGGGTGTGGAAGGGGGAGGGAAGGCCGGGACGTGGGGCCGCGGGGCTGAGGTCCCGGGGGCGAGGGACCCCTCCAGCTCCGGACGGCAGGCTGGACGTGGAGTCGGCCCAGGGAGGGCTCTTAGGGGTCGTTAGGAACAGTGATCGCCCCGCACTTTAGGGAGGAGACTTGGATGGAGTCGCCCAAGGTCGCGAGTGCAGCTGGAGGCGATGCCTCTCGTCGGCCTGCCCTCCCACCAAGGCCACGCCTGTGCGGCTCGGGGTTCCTGCGCCCACCAGGAGGGCCCCGGGGGGCCGGTACCTTGGAGGACGGCTGCGCAGTCTCGATTGCCCGCAGGTCCTTGTCCAGCTCGGCGCTCAGCTTGGCCAGCTCTCTCTCCAGCAGGACCTGGGGGCGGGTTGTGCGGAGAGACTTGGGCCAGGGGCAAGGTGGGGGGCGGGGAGTGTACCGTGGGGGGCGCTGGGCTGGGCGAAAGTCAGATGTGAGAAGTCCAATGGCAACACGTCAAAGCACGCGGCGCTGGGGTAAAGGGCAGGCTCAGGGCGCCGGGCCAGGCTGACTACCTCTGGGCCTGCCAGGAGGTGTGTCTTGGGGTGTCAGGAGGGCCCTCCCTGCTGACCCAGCTCACCCATCCCTTACTCCCAGGGGAACACTTTAGTATTTCCTGATGTGTTTCTCTATTCAGGAGCCTACCAGGCTCCCTACTTCCTCTCCTTACACACACACACACACACACACACACACACACACACACNCCAGGCTCCCTACTTCCTCTCCTTACACACACACACACACACACACACACACACACACACACGCCCTTCCAACCTCTGCCTGTGTCTGCCCCAGCCTAGGTACCCCCTCTCTCTGCCTGGCCTCCAAGCTCCATCTTCAAGACAATTCCAGTCCACACTGATCAGTCTCTTCTCAGCCTGCTGTGATGAACACACAATTTTCAGCACATGTTTACTGAGCGCCTACTGTATGCCAGAGGCCTCCCTGGTGAGGCAGGCAGTAAAGAACCTGCCTGCGCTGCAGGAGACCTGGGCTCGACCCCTAGGTTGGGAAGATTCCCCAGAGATGGGAATGGCTACCCCACTTCAGTATTCTTGCCTGGAGAATTTCATGGACGGAGGATCGTGGTGGGCGACAGTCAGTGGGGTTGCAAAGAGCCGGACATGACTGAGCACCTAACAGCTTCACACACTGTATGCCAGGCACTGTCCTGGGCGCTGGGGGCACAGAACTAAGCCGTATGGGACTGGAGAGGGTCAGAGTCTTGAGTCCATGGCCTTGGCCCATGGTCATGGGGACCCTGACCACCCAGAAAGTCCGTCACTGGCCCCCCAACATATTATGTCCCATTCCCGCCCACCTGCCCACAGCACGCACCTCAATGGGCTGGGAGGGCTTCTCAACAGGGTCGTCTACCAGTGGTTTCTTGGGCTAAGAGTGGGAAGAGTGAGTTAGAGGGGGTGAAATTGCTCCCCCAATGCACAAGTCGAGGGTACATCCTTTTCCAGAGAACCAGGCCCACATACCTTCTGCCCAGTCTCTAGTTCTTGCAGAAACTGGTTCCAGGATTCTTCCGTCCAGACACTGTCCGCTTTCTCTCGGCGTCTGAGCACCTGCATGGCAGGGAGTAAGCATCAGCTTGAAGAGAGGGGTACCGGGACACTGGCCAGGCTCGAAAAGCAGGCTTTCAGCCACAGTCCACTTCCATGCCCATCAGCACCCTCCCAAGAATTCCAGGATCTTCTGACTGCACAGGCTCCAAGATGAACAGCTTTAACTGTGCTTGCAGCAAAAAGTGAAAGTCGCTCGGTTGTGTCTGACTCTTTGCGACCCCATGGACTATACAGACCGTACCAACTATGGCAGCAGAGGGCCTGACCAAAGAGCATGGAGATGGGGCAAGTGCTGGGCAAGCCACCTGCTTCGCGGTCTGGTGCAGGGAGGAGGGTGCTCCAGGACTGCAACTGAAGGTGCTTCTAAGAGACTCTTCAGAGACATCCCAGCTTCTTCTAAAGAAAGGAAAAGACATCTTTCAGTTTCCTTTTAGGGAAACAGAGGCAGGCATGAGCACACAGTCCTGGGGAGGGAGCTTCACCCCCTCCCTGCCTGCTCTGGGCTGTAGAAGCAATGTTAAATAGTAAAATGTTATTGGCTCTGAATTCAAATTCCAGTCCCACCACTTAGCTGTGTCTCTTTTGGTCTCAGAGCCTCTGATTCAATACCTGTAATATGAGAATGACTCCCACCTTTATAAGGGTATGGGGAATCTTAGGTGAGGGAACATACTTAAGACACCCAAGACAGGAACTAACATGTATACATCTGCTCCAGAAGTGGCCAGTCCCTTTCCTGCTGGCCTTGGTGAAATATCCTGCATTTGGGTTCTATCTGGTTCCATGACTGTGGGTATGTATGTCTGTGCAGCTTCGATGAAGTTGGTCACCATGACCAAGTGGTCTTGTACCCATACCCAAGGGTGTGAGACTACATCTTAGTTCCTGGAAAACCCAGGTCAGGGGAAAGAGCCTGTAGGCCTGACTCAGGAGCTCTGAACAAGTTACTTCTGCTCCACAGGTCTCAGTTCCCTGAGGTGCTAGATCATTGATGTCATCTGTCACAGTTACCTGAGTGTCCTTCTAGGACTCCCTTCTTGGCTGGCTGAAATCTTCCAGTTTCTGCTGAGTTTGAATGTTTCCACCAAGTGGAAACACTGTACCAAGCTTATCAAGTGATGGAATGTCTGAGGGGAGGGTTAGGTGTCAGCTGTTACTATGAATACTCTAGGAAGAACATCAGTAACAACAGTGATGTGAGAATGGAATACATTGTTCCTAATTTAAGGAAGCTGTAGTCATAACTGGAAGGACTGATGCTGAAGCTGCAGCTCAAATACTTTGGCCACCTGATGGGAAGAACCGACTCACTGGAAAAGACCCTGATGCTAGGAAAGACTCAAGGTAGGAGAAGGGGACAACAGAGGACAAGATGGTTAGACAGCATCACTGACTCAATGGACATGAATTTGAGCAAACTCCAGGAGATAGTGGAGGACAGAGGAGCCTGGCATGCTGCAGTCCATGGAGTCACAAAGAGTCAGACATGACTTAGCAACTGAACAACAACTACTCATAATCAAGCTTGTATGATAATCATGTTTGTGGAGACTTGCGGTATACTTTGATCTTCATTCCACCCTCTGATTCCCATTTAACAGATGGAGCTAGGGAGGCTCAGACTGGTTACCTTGGTCGAGGTCACGTGGCTAGTGCAGCACACTGATTTGAATCCAGAGGTGCGTAAGCGTGCTCAGTTCTGTCCGACTTTTTGCGACCCCATGGACTGCAGCCCACCAGGCTCCTCTGTCCATGGAACTTTCCAGGCAAGAATCCAGAAATCTGGGTCCAAATCTTGACCAAATCTTAGTCTCTACCTTATTGATGATGCCAAGAACCACAGCCCAGTTAAGGCCAGGCTAATGAGGTCACTCTGTTCCCAGAAAGGAATCAGAAACTCATTAGTGACACTGTGACAGACAGCCTCCTGATTCCTGAGGTTGGGCTGAGCCCCTGCAGCCTGGGCTGAGCTTGTGTGGTTTGCTCAGAAAAGATGCACTGCGTCCTTGACCTGTCTGGAGGGTTCCTCTCTCAGTGGCATCTGGGACAAAGCCTGTGATCCTCTATGCCCCTTGTTTTCTCGCAGGCTTCAGAGTGGATGGCTGCAGGTCCACGCCTAGCCACGGGCTACCCTGCTCTCCACCCCAAATGAGGCATGGATCTTTGGGGTGATGAATTCCTGCCACCAAATACAGAGGCATCCCAGGCGGTCCTGACCAGAAATAGCGGTCAGGTCATCCCCCTTTGGCTCTGGTGGCATGGAGAGGATCTCAAGCAGTGGGAACCCTGAGAAGGGGCAGAGCCATGGGTGGGAGCCTGCCGGCCTGGTGTGAGACTTTGCCAGCTGTGGCCACCAGGGGGTGCCAGTCCCCTCAAGGAAGGCAGCACCCCTCTGCGGCTCTGGGGCCCTCCCCTTGATGGCTCACCCGCTCAGAGGTGACGTCTGGTTTGGCCTGGCAGGTGGTCTTTGCTGAGGCCCTGGATGCCTTGCGTCTGCAGAGGTGGCACAGGAAGAATCCACTGAAAGTGAGAGAAGATAAACAGGGTGGAGGGAGGTGAAAGCTGGGGTTGAGGGTACCTGGGTGACGGTGGAAGGTTATGGCCCACTCCCACCCACTCTCCTGGGTGGCTGGTGGGAAAAGGGGTGATGCTCTGGACCAGTAACTATGGGCTGGGTGCCAAGAGCTTTACACTCTTTACCAAACCTTTGAAACATCTCTGGGGTGTTCCCGTTTTACACGTGAGAAAAGAGAGGCCCAGAGAAAGCAGAGCCAGGGCTAGGCATTTGCCGGACAGTGACTCAGAGGCTCTGAATTATTAATACCATGGACCAGGGGATTTGGAGCTCACGGAAATGGGCTGTACAGACTTCACAAGCTGAGCTGAGCCAACTGGGGAGCCCCAAAGCCAGGCGTGGCTGCAGGAAGGGTAAATGCAGGCACCGGGCTGGGGCATGCCACCCCCCACCCCTGCCTTCACCTTTGGGTGACTCCTCGAAGGTCCAGTCCAGCTGTAGGTCTAGGGTAGCAGAAAGGACTAGGTCAGGGTGGGTGCAGCAAGCAAGGATAAGGATGGGGAGCCCTGGGAGGCAGCCCCAGAGGCTCCCAGTCCCTCCTGCCTAGAGCAGGGGCCCAGGGGCTGAGTCAGAGCCTAAAGAATGTCTCGAGGGAGGGAAGGAATTAGGAGGGCAGTTCTCAGGAGGGCTTGAAATGCCTCTGGCTGCCTTAGGGCCTGAGGGAGCCAAGAGGGCAGTGGCCTTGCCCAAACCCTCCTGCCCCTCCCTCCCTGGTTCCCACACACACCCTCTCCCTGACCTTTGGACACCTGCCCTCGCCATGTCAGTTTGGAGAATTCTACTTCCCCTTCACCCTCTTGCCCTTTCTGCACCCTCTTCTAAATCTTCCCCCTTTGCCCAGACCCACTCTTCAAGGTGCTCAGGACTTTCTGGGGCCTCCAAGGAAGAGCTACTGACCAGCCAACCCTCTTGATCTCCTTGGCACACAGACACGTAACCACAGCTCTGACCTTAAATGCAAACCACAACCCCCCTCTCTGGATCCCACACCTTCCTCCAGTTCTTGGAGTTTTCTGCTTTCCTTTGCAGCCAACTACTAGCCATAAGGGGCTTCCAAGGTGGCGCTAGTGGTAAAGAACCCGCCTGCCAATGCAGGAGACAAAAGAGACACACGTTCAATCTCTGGGTTGGGAAGATCCCCTGAAGAAGCGCAAGGCAACCCAGTCCAGTACTCTTGCCTGGAGAATCCCATGAACAGAGGAGCCTGGCAGGCTACAGTCCATGGGGTTGCATGCATGCTGGCCGTAAGAAACTCAGTGTCTTCAATCCCACTTCCTGATAAGCAGGCTTTCAGCCTGAGCCACCCTCGTCAAGGACTCCAGTGACCTCCAAGTTACCAGATCAAATGGTCACCCCCATTTGATCATCAGCAGCATCAGTCACAGAGGTGCACTTCCTCCTTTAGAAATTTCTTGTCACTTGGCTTCAGGGAGGCTGCTCTGGTTTTCCACCTGCCTCCCAAGCTCCCCTTCCCAGGCAGCCTAGATGATTTCTGCCCATCTCTCCAAGTGTTTCAGGGCTCAGTCCCTGGGCCTCTGTCTCTCCATCTCCCTGGGTGATCTGGTTCAGTCTTCTACCTTAAACAATACTGTCTATTCCAGGGACTCCTAACCTTAGCTGTACACCGAAGCTACTTGGGGGACCTTTACACCAAAAATCTCTTTGAGTGGGTCCTTGGTATTTCCATCTGCAGCTTAAGCCTCACCCCAGGAAATACAGACTTGTTTATCAACTGCCCAGTGGTTCAGTGGTAAAGAATCTGCCTTCAATCCCAAAGATGCAGGTTTGATCAGCTGGTGGGGAGGAGCCCCTGGAGAAGGAAATGGCAACCCACTCCAGCATTCTTGCCTGGGAAAATCCCATGGACAGACGAGCCTGGTGGGCTACAGTCCATGGGATCGCTAAAGAGTCAGACATGACTTAGCGACTCAAAAACAAAAATATCAACTGCCACTAGTGTGAACCGTGTCTAAAACTGAATGTCCCTTAGATTTGCACACACACAACCCCTCTCCCTGCCTTTCCTGTATGTATATGCATTTATAAAGGGCAGCTTCATGGACTCACTCAGGTTTAAAGTCATCCCTGACTAGTCTCTTTCATGCCACATCCAATCCATCATCAAATTACCATGATTCTGTCTCCAGAATTCCACCAGGCCCGCTGCTACTGCCCTGATCTGAGACACTGTCGTCTTTAGCCTGGATTCTGCTCAGATCTCCTGACTGGTCCCTTGCCTCTACCCAGCCCCATCTCTTCCCCACCTGGCAGCCAGAGGGAGTCACTTCAGCCACCACCTGTCAGAGCCTGTCACTCATTCTTCAGCTCAGAGCCTCCCGGGGGCTCCTCAGTTCTTGTAGAGTAAAAGCCCAAGGCCCGGAGTGCCCTGATCCCAGCATCTTTGTCTTCCATCTCCACCACGTGCCCCTCTCAGTGCGGCCCCGCCCCTCTCTGTGGCCCCAGAACAAATCCGGCCTGCTCTGCCTCCGGGCTCCCCATGCTCCCCAGGCAGCGACACTCCTCCCCCAGCCCTGCAGGGCCAGCTCCTTCACAACCTTAGCTCTCAGCTCAGAAGCCGCTTCTCAGGGGCCTTTCCTGACCACCTGCGTGAAGTGGCAGCCTTCCTGCCCTGGGCACTCTCCCGACCTTTTCTCCCTAGCCCTTACCACCATCTGCCATGTTAAATGCCTATGTGTTTATTCTGTGACCCCTTCTGCCTCAAGCTTTGCTAAGGCAGGAACAACCTTTTTTTGTTCCGTTTTGTCTTTAGCACCTAGAATAGTAGTCAGCAAACAGCAAGTGCTGAACACATGGCTAAGGGGCTGGCTGAGCAGATGTGTGGCCTCGCGGTTCCCGACCCTCAGAGGGGACAGGGTCTGGTCACTGTTCCCCACACAGGGAGCAGACTGGCAGTTCCCTCCTTTGGGCTGTTTAGCGACCACTCACCGCAGAGTCTGGGGTGGGTGCAGACACTCCCCGGGCAGGTGAGTCCTCCTGTCTGCCTCTCGCTCCCCACCCCCCAGGGGCCCAAGCCCACTCCGGCAGAGAGAGGGCCCCAGAAGGGGGTCTCACCTGGCATTTTCCGGTGGATCTGCTTGAACATTTTTCGGTACCAGTCCCTGGGGCTGTCAACACTCTGGGATCAAAGAAGGCAAAGTCAGGCCACCCTCCCAATATCAAGCCACAGATATTTTTCCTTGCTGAGTCTTTTCTCTGACCACCCTTGAAGCCCCCCTGGGTGGGCTGTTGTGACATCTTTAGTAACAATAACTCCATGTAGTCTGTTATGTTTGAGTAAGATATACAGAAGGGGGACTTCCCTGGTGGTCCAGTGGTTAAGACTCGCTGCTCCCAATGCAGGGAGCGTGGGTTCAATCCCTGGTCGGGGAACTAAGATCCCACATACCATGTGGCATGGCCAAAAACAATTTTTTTAATTATTAAAAAAAATACTCAGATTTATGGAAGAATCTCCACCAGTGATGAGCCCTAAATTGTGAGATCTGGGGTGGCTTATATATAGTTTTTTCTTTTTATGTATTTCTGATGATTCTACAGAGAACATGTGTTTCTATGTAATGAAAAATAAACAGTATTGGTGGGGGGTAGGGTAGGAAGGTATTTCACATCCTCTACCTCACCTGTGACGCCAAAGAACCTTGGGAAGCAGAAGGCTATGTTACCAATCTGAGTTTCTGATAAGGAACTAGAGAGGCAGACAGCTGGCTCAGGACAGGCCTGGGAGTGGTGGAAGGGCAGGTCCTCCCAGCATGAATCCTTCAGATCCTCCAAGCTTGCTGCTCCATCAGGCCTCACTCAGGACTCTTCTCGTTCACCCATTCGGTCAGTCACTCAGTGACCGTCCCACCAGTGCCGTGCAGGCCCAGGGCCGTGAATGGGGGAGCGGGGCAGCCCCTGCCAGGGGCAGCCTGTACAGCAGTGGCTCTCTACCACGGGGAACTATGGGGTAGTCTAGAGCTGCCCCCCCGCCAAAAAGAATCCCTTGCACAACTCAAGACACGCCAGCCTGCTCGTGATTTTGTGGCTCGTGACCCCCAGACCCATAAAGGCCGAACCCCTGCTTCAGTCTGGTATGGTTTGGGAACAAGCTTTGTGGCAGAGGTGGAGCTCAGGGCGGACCCCTGGGCCCCACCAATCGGCGGCCCCCGCCCTGGACTCACAGATCGGGGAGCAATTGGCATGCCGCTCTCATCCACGGGTCCGATGCCCTCATACTTGACCCAGCGCTTGTCCCGCCGTTTGCTGTCCTTGGTCCATGTGGCTGACCACTTCTGGGAATGCTGGGAGGCAGGGGTCTTCTGGTTCCCAGGGGGCCGGCTCCCAGGGCCCGGCCAGGTCTGATACCAAGCAGGGTCTGTGGGGTACATGGAGAGGAGCTTCAGCAAAGGCACCCCACCGAAGCTTGTTTGTCCCTCTGCTCCTCAGACTACTCAGCCCTGTGGGTTCAAAAGTTTCAGCAACCCCTTTTTTGTCTAAGTTGATGACCGCAGACTCTACAAACGTCCCCATCCTTGGCAAGACCACAGGGCTCCTGTGTTTGTTTACTTTTTAGTTAAAGTGATTGAAAATGGATTTTATCTTGAGAAATCTATGCCCGTCTCCACCCTGCTTTGTTGGGGATGTCCTCAAGAGTTTTTAGAATGAGAGCTGGAATTGTCACATGCAGAGAATGCTAGAGGCAAATATCCCAGCTGGGGAAGACAGTGGGGTGTGGCAGAAAAGGGCCTGGGGCTGGGGGCGAAGACCTGAATGCAGACCTACTGGCTGTGTGTCTTAGGCACAGCAATCAACCTCACCGTGCCTCTGTTTCCAACTTCTGTAAAATGAGGGTAGTCACAGCAGAGCTGCAGGGAGGTCCTGCACGTTCAGGACAGTGCCTGAACACAATCGACACACCAGGGGCAGAAACTCACTCACCAGCACCTTCTGCCTCCGGTTGTAACAACAAAAGGGCTTCAGGGCAGGATGGACCAGTGTTTGAACCTCAGCTCAGCCTTTGTGACTGAACACCCCTGAGATACGGGTCCTTCACTGAGAAGATGCTAATAATGACACCTTACCTTGCCAGGCTATGGAGGGATGAAGTGAGGTAAGACCTGGAAAGTGTCTTTACAGTGTCCAGGATTTTCTGCGTGCTTACTGACTATTTGTTAAATGTGTAAACTACTGAACACACTGGCTGCCTCAAAGGAATGCTCTATAAATGTTGCCATCCTCCTAAAGAGACGGGCCCTGGTGGACGTGCACCCAGGAGGTCCCAGGAATCTCCCAGACCCCGTGGGCTGGGCTGGGCTGGGCTGGGCTGACTCATAGGAACCCAGGAGCTGGCAGAGTCCCAGAGCTGTCTCTGCAACCTTCTGCTGGGCTGCTGCATACAGATGGGGGGGTGGGGGCAGCCCTTCGGGGGTGTGTCTTGAGTTCAGCACCCATGCCTTCTTCAACCCACCTATGCTCACATTCCTTCAGCCTCCATTCCCAATCCAAGCTGTCCCCTGGCCTGCTGGAGGTCCCCCTGGCCTGAGGCTATGTTCCCTGCACATTTCCTTCCCCCTAGCACTGGGTGGGGGAGGCAGGGGAAGGGATGTGTCAGCCTGGTCTATGCCACAGCAGTTTCACTCTCACAGGCCAGCACGTGCCTACAGGGAGGGGTGGTGAGCTGAGCTCACTGGCCCTGGGGCCTTGAGAGACTTTCACCCACCTCCTGTCCCTCCACCTGACCCAGGGTGGGTGCCAGAAGGCTGAGCCCAAGCAGCTCTGACTGAACCCCTCCCCAACCCCTAACCCTGGAGCTGGTTTTCCCAAGCAGACCCACCTGGCTGTCTGGAAGCATCCCTCCTCGGTGGCAAATACCCATTGCACACGGTCCTGGGCGCAGGGTCATGGAACTGGAAATTAAGGGTGTTGGAACCACCGTTCCGGATCACGGGCACCTGTGGGGAGGGGCCAGGAGCAGCAGCTCAGGCCCAGGGGTTCTGCAGGCGGCGGAGGGATGGCTGAAAGGTGAGGGCTGGACCCGGTCTGGTGAACCAGCGAGGCTCTCTGGAGCTGTCACCCACCCCCCTTCCCGTGCTGATCCTCCTGCTGCCCCCCACCTGTCCTGAGCCCCCCTCCCCAACTAGGGGCCCACAGCACCCACTCCCCTGCTATCTCACTCACCCGTGTCCCCCGGGCGGATGACCCTACGTGGGCCAGGAGGTGGCCCGGGATGAAGTCATCCAGGCTGAGCCCAGCTGGGAGGCTGTGGGGTGGGGCCTGCATGCTCGGGTCAAGGCTGGAGGGCTGCTCCTCGGCGTGTCCTCTGTGGGGAAGGAAGAAGGAAGGGGGAGCCCTGCTGGGTCCAGGCTGCCCCTGTCCTCTGGGTTCAACCTTGGGGCTGTGGGAGGGAGGGGATCGGGCCAGCTGGGTGGGAGCTCAGAGACCCAGGAAAAAGGCCGCTGTGGGCACCCGCCTTTAGGCTGCCCGTGCAGACTCCTAGAGGCACAATGGGCTGCTTGTTAGGCCTCGGGCAGGAGCTCTGGGTGGGAGAGGGGGAGGGGGAGGCCGGGCAAGGAGGAGGAGGGAGGTTGGCTGGGAGCACACCTCCAGCGGCCGGCCCCTCTGGGGTTCTCACTGCACAGCGCGGCCCTCTGCCCAGGAGAAAGGCAGAGGGAACTGGGGCAGCTGGCAGAGGAGGGCCCGGGTACCAGGACTTTGTTTCAGTTCCCTCTGCCACCCCCAGGCCCCATGAGCATCTGCTTGCCAGCAGGCACAAGTGGTTAGTCAGGCAGTGGGGTGGGGAGCGGCCACCCGCCCACTGCCCAGCGGGGCCAAGATTCTAGGGAGGTTGGGCATGTCCAGTCCGCAGGAACCATTCGTTCTGAGCTCAAAGTAGTATCAGTTCCCTTCTTTGGCCTCTTGGCTCAGACCGAAGCTTCAGAGGACTCAGGGTGCAGTGAGGGGTCAGGCGGCTTGGGCCAGGGCCTGGGCTGGCAGCGAGTCAGTGGGTGAGCAGGGAGTTGGCCAGCTCACAGGAAGGTGGTGCTGAGTGTCACACGCGCACACACACAGAGGTGTGTGCACACACCCCACTTTCTCCTACACCTCCAGGCTGTCTTTTGGACAGAGTGTCTTCCTGGGAGCATCATGCCAGACTGGCCAGCTGGGTCCTTCCACCCCAGGCAAAGCTGAGGTCAAGAGACAGGGTTCCCACACTCGGGAGAGGAGGCAATGGGGCTTTGCTACCAGACAGCTGCGCTGCCCAGGCCGTCCCGTCCCACCTCGCCTGTCCTGTTGAACGTGGCCAGAGGCTGAGCCAATCTTGGCCACCTTCTGGCGCTGGACCGGTTCTGGCACTTTTGTTTAGAGGCTCGCGTGTGCCTGTGGGGCCAAGGGGTTCACAGGAGGGTGGCAAGGACTTTGTGAGGTGCCGTTTGTGCAGCATGGAGTGTTAGCTCAGTGGATGCTTAAGATGCTGGATGGAGTGTAAGGACGTGGCTTGTGCAGGGTTACGGGGGTGGGCGTCATGTGAGCAGTATGGGAATTGTAGGCACAGAGGAGGTTCAGCTGAATAGTAGGTGGGCGGTATGCAGTGGGGGGTGGTGTGCAGCTGGGGGGGTCATACGAGCAGGGCAAGTGTTGTGGAGACCAGAGGGGATGAAGATGCCATGGGGGCTGTGATTACTGCTGTTCCCAGTTTCTGCTCAGCCATGGCGGGGCTGTAGGGTACAGACAAAGCTGGGGGCAGCTCTCTGACTTTAGTCGGCGAGTGGCAATTCCTTTGGACATTTGAGAAGACCTACTGGGGACACAGCTTTTCCGGGCCCATCCCTAGCTGGGGTGGCGGGGTTGGGGGGGGGGAGAGTGAATGGCTGAGGCTGGAGGAGGGGCAGCACACCAGCTGGATCCAATTAGAGCTCCTACCAAAAGCAAAACAGGCAGACACACCCCAGTTCCCGGCTACTCTCCCCCACTCTGGGCAGGAAACTGAGGCAGGGGAAAGTAGGAGATCTGGAGCCCTGAGGCATGCTGATTCCTAGCCACAACCCCACCCTGGACAGCTGACTACAGAGGCCAAGATGCGAGGTCAGCACGGGCAGCCCTGACCATCAGCTGACCCAGCCTCCTTCCCTCTCACTGCCATCCCCTGCTGCACTCCCTGAGAACTGCCCAGCAGGAGGAAGGGGCCGGTAGGAGGGCTGATTCTTCAGGTGCTGCTCATCCTTGCTGGCCCAGCTGTGTGACCCTCCCTCACACGGCGCCCTGTGACGCACCTCTCAGGATACGCAGGGCGGGGTGGGGAAGGATGGGCTGCGTGTTCCTCCCGTACCAGGAGGTGATAAGGAGGACTTCTCATAGGGAGGATGGAGGCACCGGGCAACGGGTGCCGCACTGGGGCAGTGGGTCCCGCATCTGGCAGAGGACAGAGGGGACAGGAAGTCCCCAGGTCCTCCCTGAAATCGGGCGGCCCTTCACCCCTAACGGCTGAAAAGCGTGCAATAGCCCATTGTAGTTGGCAGACTCCTTCCTCCCTCCAAAAACTGCCTTAACTTTGGGGGCTTGAGCCTTAGGTGCATCCCAGGGGTATTTTCCAGCTACAAATCCACGTGGACAATTTCAGGTTTTCTCGACTTTCGCCTCATCTGGATGGAGGGGGCAGTTGGCACCTCTTTCCCTCCCCCAGAGTTTGGGACCAGGACCCGCGAAGGAGGGGCTTCCCGCGTTCCTCCGGCTTGGAGTGCGGGTCCCTCCCCGACTGCAGCCCCCGCCTCCTCTCCTCCGGGGCACCTACCTTCCCAGGAGAGCAGGTGGAGGGGACTGCGGACGCCCCAGAGGACACAGGAGCATCTCTGCGCGGCTCCTGCCTGGCGCGGCCGCGGCGGGCCCTCGGGGCGGGAGGGCAGGGAGAAGTCCGGGCTGTGCCGTCCGCCCTCGTGACCCGGTCAGGACGGGCTCCGCGAGGCCGGGCGCCCGAGGAGGAAGAGGGGTATCGGCGGGGCCGGAGAAGTGGGGACGAGGGCGAGCGCTGGGAGGAAGGACCGTGAGAGGCGCGCGGGGTCGGCAGGCGCGCGGGCGGAGTGTGTCTCTCCCTGTGATCTGGCCCCTGGGCCGGACTGCGGTGGAGGGCGGGGGCTCCGAACGGCCGGAGCGCGAGAGAGCTCCCCGTCGGGGTGCGAGCGGGCGGGCCGCGGGGACGCCGGGGGCCTTGCCGGGGGCCGGGCCGGCCGCGAGGCGGCGCCGGGAGAGGCGGTCCAGGGTCCCCTGGGAGACCGCTCCGGTTTCCCAGCTGCTTCCCCCGCCCCCACCGCAGGGCTGGCGTCGGGCGGGGGCGGGGGCCACGAGCCGCACTCAGAGTTTCCAGCGACATTTCCAGCGGGTGGGAAGGGAGCCTCTGCTCGGCGGAGCCAGGACAGAGGGCAGGAGTGATTAAAGAACCCGGGTCGAGCCAGCCGCTGATATGGGACCCGGATGCAGACAGGCTGGGGCCGGGGTAAGGTCGCCGCACGGACAGAGTGGCCTAGTGGGCCGAGTTAAGGCCCGGCCGTCTCCCTCCTCTCTTGGAGACAGTTTGCACGAGTGCGCGTCCCAGGCGTGCGCGCGCACACACACACACACACACACACACACACACACACACACACACACACACGTGCACTGGCCAATGGGCGGATGCTCACACACGTGCAGGCCCGGCGGAGGACAGCGGCGGGAGGAAATTGAACCGAGGCAGCGGCCCCCTGGGCGTGCCGTGCCCCTGAGGAGGATAAGGGCGGGTCCCTTTGGCAGGGATGGGGTTACCGGGGTCTTGGTGTTCCCACACACCGTATTTGTTTTGATCTTGCTGCTTTTCCGCTGTTCCCACTGCTTTGACACCGGTCCCAAGAGCCCACGCCCACTGGCTCCCATCCCCTCTGGCCATCCCCACTACCCCTTCTCCCCTGTGTGAGAGAGCCTCTGTGCCGGCGCAGAGCCTGTTATAGTGAAGGTTTGATGAATGCTTTACTATTAATGAATGCTTACTGCTAGTGGGCAGACTCTGGGGTACCATTTCTTAGTCCTTGGCTTGGCTCGGAGACCCCACGCCCCAAGTCAACTAAATCGTAAATACCTGATGGGCAATCGCAGATCTATTTTGGGAGCGATCAATTACAGATTATGAAAATATGGAACCATTTGTTAGGACCGACTGGGAGTTAGGGGGCTTCCCTGAAGGCTCAATGGTAAAGAGCCTGCTTGCCAATACAGGAGACACGGGTTCGATCTCTGAATGGGGAAGATCCCCTGGAGAAGGAAATGGCAACCCAATCCAGTATTCTTGCCTGGAAAATCCCATGAACAGAGCAGCCTGGCAGGTTGCAATCCAAAGAGTCACAAAGAGTCAGACACAACTTAGCAAATAAACAATAACTGGGAGTTAGACTGGTACTCTGAGGCCACCATGCACTTCAGAGTGTTTTCCATTCAGCACAAAAGTTGAGAAGGAAGGGAATGGAGAAAGATGAAACCTTATTTTTAAATCCCTACCATCGCAGATGCTATTAGCTATATCATTCCCTCATTCAGGTTAAGAGAGCTGCCTGCTTTGCGGTAAACCAGCTTGAAACAATCTCATGTGTGAAGCGCAGAAGGAGGGGAGGCTTAGGCTGAGAAGCTTCAGAAAGAGAGTGGCCTGCCACCTAGCTTCCATGTCTGCAGGGCTGCCGCGTGGAAACCGCACGGGCAGACCTGGCACCATTGGGTACATACTCCAAAGCAGATCCAAGGTCTCCAAGAAAGAGCTTTTAAATGATTTCAGGAGTTCCAAGTCTGAAAATTGTGGGAACTCTCCATAAAAGTAATTATTGCACTGAGTACCTGCTCCAGTATTCTTGCCTGGGAAGTCCCATGGACAGAGGGACCTGGAAGCTATAGTCCACGGGGTCACAAAAGAGTCGGACAGGACTTAGCAACCAAATAGCATCAGGGAGCGGAACCAGATCACTTTGAAGGCCCCTTCCAAGAATCTCTGATTCTCCAGGGAAGCTGGAGGGACGGGCATGGGCCGGGTAACCTCTGCCGACAGAAGTCAGCGTTAGAGAGGAGGGAGGAGCTTTGGGAGCACCTGAGTGCAGGCGGCAGTGCATCGCCCTTCCCCTAGTGCTTGGATACCTACTCACCCCCAGGCACCACCCTCTTCCCTCCCTGAGGGACAAAGCTTGTGCCCATCTCCCTTGTCACCAGTTTTTTCCCCACCTCTTAGGATCCTGGTGTTTAAGGGCCACATCTCTTTCATGTTCTTCCTTATTCTCCAAAGATGGTGAAGCTGACGATCTTCCGACTCCAGGAATCCTGGCCATACCCGCTTCTCACCAGCAGTGAGCTTCTCTTATTCTCTAGGGCTCTGACCTGGACTCCAAGACAAATATTTAATGTAGAGGGTGCAGCTGAGCCGACAAAGGTCCCCAGCTTCCTGTTTCTCACAGGGGGAGGTGGCAGCCACGGGCGAGGAGCAGGGACTGGCTACCAGCCTCATCTCTATAGGAATGGGAAGTCCAGTAAACAGATTTGTAGGAGGTGGTAGGGGAAGCTCTGCCAGAGACCTGAGCTGCTTTGACTTCTGCCTGTCTGCCTCAGGTCCTGCCAGGCTTATCACCTTCTGTCTCAGGTGCTGTGCCTGTGGGAATCACTCTCCTGAGAGTCAGAGGCTGTGTACTTGGATCAAGGAGGAACTCCCTCCAACCCACAGCCTCATGGAGGAGAGGATGAGCAATCGGTGGGAGCACAGAGTCTAAGAAAACTCAAACTGACGCCTCCTTTTCTGCTCATCTTCAGGGAGAAGAATCCTCTCTCTTTGAGAAGTGGGAGATTAAAAGGAAAAGAGTCGCGACATCCAGAGATTCAGCCCCAAGCCAGGTGTCTGATTTCTGCACTCCTCCTGCCAGCCTCAGCTCACTGGCTGCTGGCCTGACGGGGCAGAGAGCTGGCATGGCTCGGGGGAGAAGCTGAGGTCAGGGAGGGCCATCCCAGGTGGCCGGGCTGTGGCCAACAGCAGAGCAGACTCCTTTCATCCCAGTGCACTGTCTCCTCTGGCGACTGCCTTGTCGCCTGCCAGGGACCTCCCTCCCGCTGACTCTTCCTGGGCTCTGGCACGACCTTTGTCGGGGGGCTGCTGCCTGCGTCCTCTCAGAGCCACCTGACACTGAGCAAACACTGTTACATAACCGCTGTGTTTTTTCTAGCTATCTGATCCTGGTTGGCCGCATGCCCGCCCCCACCCTGCCCCCTGAGGCCGCCACCTTTTGTTCCATGGATTATCCCCCCATGTCAACTGAGGTCTGTCCACGCCCGCCACACTCAGGGATGATTAGCCAAGAGACTACCAGTAGATGTTATGTTCTTTATATGGAAGGGGGAGAAGAGGGTGGGTGTTCACACAGGAATGTGGGTGGCTCTGAACATCAGCCTCAGTCACCAGAAGGAAGGATGAATGGAAAGAGCATTTAAGTAGCTTTTTAATGTAAGTGAATAAGGTGAGTGGAGAATTCAGTTTCGTTTCTCAAGTGAGAAAAAGTAAGCCAGGCATCCCAGCCATAAACCTGAACTCTCAGCAACTTGTGTATCTGCCTGTGGCTGATTCACGTTGATGTATGGAAGCAGCTGTGGAGTCTTGCCCCAAGGCCACAGGTCTGAGGTCTTGCCCCAGGGCCACAGAATTGGAGCCCAGAACAAAGTTCACCTCTGAAGCTGACTGAGCCCCCTTGTAACCTTGCCAAAAGTTCCCCTGATCATCACAAGCAAACTCTGTGACCCATATTAGGCAAAAATGCCCACCAATCACCTAACTTCGGCCTTTTGGTAGGAATTTTGTCTTGAGGCTATAAAAATTGGCCACTAACCCACAAAAAGCATTGGCTCTCCCTGGTCTGTCAGGCGGTCGGCCCACTGCATTTGCAAGTGCCCACATTATCTCTGCTCTTTGTTCTTAATAAACTCACTGCCTTCTGAAATGCTCTGTGTCTGGAAATTCTTTTCCAACCCATGCTAGGACTGCCTCAACAGAAACCAACACAATATTGTAAAGCAATTATCCTCCAATTAAGAATAATTTTTTTTTTTTAAAGAAGAAGACCCTGAACTCTCAGTCCTTGAGGAGTGTCTGGTGCTGGGAGTCTGGCGTCTGAATGTCACACTCAGATCAGCCCTGAGCAGCCAAGTGGTTCCCTGGCTGTGTGCCTCCGTCCCCCCATATTAGACGGAGGAAGAGCATCTGCTATTCCTTCTTTTCTCCTCCACAGGAATGAACAAACTTTGCTATAGAGTCTTTAGTTCGGCTGTGAGCAGGTTCTTAATTTGTGCTCTCAGAAGAGTGTTTTCTTCCTGCCAGGGACATTGAGCAAAGCAGACCAACCAGAATGGATTAGCATAGAAAGCCCTGTTCCTTTCGAGGGTTTTGGACTTCTCACCGGCCACGGTGAGCCATTAGTGAGGAGCTGAAAACAGGTCACACCAGAGACAGGAGTACAGATCTGCACTGTTTCATCCCCTGGACTTCATCTTTTTTCTCCTGGGTCCACACCTGACTCCAGCTTTTGCTCATGTTGCCAGCCAAGTTCTACCAGAGCTTCTTATCAGGCCAAACAGTCAGGGAAGCAGGAGCGACGGAAGGGGAACACGAGTGACCCACTGTGGGTCTTCAAAGTCCCCCTGAAGCTGACAGTGGTGTGGCCTGACCCAAGTGTGTTGGTATAGTCACTGTTAAGTAAGGGGAAAAAATACCCATTACAGGTCAGCTGTGGTCCTTGTTGGAGCCTGGTGACCACAGTGAGTGGCTCCCCTGGGACAGAGAATGAGGCCTTTGGGCCGGCTTGGCACAGATCTTTCCATAGCACACACATGATGTAACAACCATCTATTCAAGGTTCTCAGAGTCAGCCACATCCAAACCCTGAAGGCTGAGAGAGAACTCAGCCTTTTGTCCAGTTATCTACTCTATCTTCAGGGAGGCCTTTACACTGACATCACACCAACTGTTCTCTCTCTCCCTCCTTTTATAGAGGAGCAAGCAAGCACAATGTGCAGATGGGATGTCTTTGAGAAGAGCTGAGCTGGATGAACCTCTCTTAGTTCTCAGGACAGAAGAGAAGAGTGAGTGGCTGTCAGTTCTTCAGTGAGCAGATTTTATAAGGGAAAGATAAATAAGTGATGACCTCAGAGGGAAAATCCAGCCAAGTTAACTCAGCCACAAAGAAGGGCACACAGACCAGCAGCTGGAAAAGTAGGTCTGCATAGCGCCTCCCCAGCAGGTGAGCTGAAAGAAGGAAGAGAAGGGGGCTGGTCTGCTGGCCAGTGGGCAGCACGAGGTAAGAGGTCTGGCCTCCAAACACAGAACGACCATGTCTTCCCACCTCCTCGAATTCTAAAATGAACCTTCGCCTGAACCACAGCCACATTAAAAAGAGTAATTTACCAGTGTTAATCCCCTGTATCAAAACGGAACAGATTTTCTTTCCAAAACCTGCAAGTTGTGATAAAAAGATCAGGCAATTACAGAGAACTGGCAAGAAAGTCAGATTGGATCTAGATATAGTGAGAGGTAAATAGAAATTTGTATTTGAGTTCTTAATTTCCAGGCTTAAAAAAAATGTCTGTTTGGCTGGGTGCTCTGTGATGACCTAGAGGGGTGGACTAGTGGTGAGGTGGGAAGGAGGTTCAAGAGGGAGCGGATGTATGTAGACATATAGCCAGTTCATGTTGTATTACAGCGGAAACTAACACAACATTGTAAAGTAATTGTCCTCCAATTAAAAAAATACCCTATGAAAAACCACTATGTAAAATAATATTAAAAACAGAATGTTTATAACTGAATCATTTGCTGTACAACAGGAATTAACAACTTTGTAAATCAACTATAATTAATAAAAATTAGAAAAAAGACTGAAATAAGGGCAAATATTACCTTATTTTTCTGAGGGTTTAAGCTGAGGACATTGTTAAGTCAGGATGCTATTGAGATCGCAAAGAGCCCAAAATACATACTTAGCTCATTCGGAATGAGCAATCTGGGCTTGTCTTCCAGCCCATAAGCTGCACTGTGGTCCTTGCTGTCTGTACTGACGGTGAAATCACCTTGCATAGGCTTGGTCGGTCCTGACTGACACTTGCTCCCTCTAAGCCGTAAACTGATAGAATCCCCTCACTGATGCCTTTTCCAGTCTAGAAAGCCTGTCCCCTAACCCCCACCTGGCCAGAGGAGTTATGTTTCTCATGAATTCACTGCACCTCCTGGTATTTCTACTTCCCAGAGGAATTAAAAGCTGGCCTGACATTTCCTTTCTTAGGGGTCCAACTCCACACTCAGCTCCTCTCTGGCTTCCCTGACTTCTCCCAAGATGGAATTCCTCTGTGTCTATTATTAGGATCAAATGCAAAGTTATCAAGCTGCTCTAACGGAAATTATTTTTATCTTTTGTAAAGACTGTGTGTTTTCTGGGATGTCTTTCTTCCTTTTCTTCAAGCAGCGGCCTCTGCCGGAGATGCCATGGAAGGAGCTGGGACTTGGGAGTGAGTTGGCAGAGTGCCAGGAAGGAGGCCAGGACAAAGAAGTGGGTTCTAAGTGGGAGAAGCAGAACCAACACCGCAGCCAGCAAAGCAGGCTGAAAACTAGAGAGCTGAGGAGGTCAAGGAAAGCGGTTCCTTTCATTGTGACGGGATTCCTTTACTTGAGAGGGGAATTAGCAGAATTAGCATTACCAGAGACCAGACCAGACATCCAGCAGCAGGCTTTCCCTTGACTTCTGGAATTATTGAATGGCTAAGAGCCCTGGAGAAGGAAATGACAACCGACTCCAATATTCTCGCCTGGAGAATCCCAAGGACAGAGGAGCCTGGAGAGCTACAGATCATGGGGTCGCAAAAGAGTCCGGTATGAATCAGCAACCAAACAACAAGAACCAAATACAAGTGCCTCCACCAGGAAACAAAGGAAATAAAGACACAGGGAGCCAATAACATTATCATTTAGTCTGAAGAGCATTTTCTGCTTTTTTTTCCAAGATGACTTCCAACATACAGTAAGAAAGTTCTAACAAATTAATTTTTTGTTCACAAAAAAATTATTTTATTAAATGATTTCTATCAATAAATAACATTTCCACCATTTGCTTTAACATAACCGAAAGCAAGAAAAAGCCAGTAACCTCTAAGCACAAGCAAATAATCTGTCATTCAGAAAAGCCTCAAAAAAAAATTACACAACCAGCTTGTCTCATATGTCTAACTGTCTCATTTAGGAAGCAAAGCCTGGATCCTTTCTTGGAAAAATGCCTGCTGACATTTCTACTAGGAAACACAGCTTTGGGTCACAGTGCGCTGAGAAAGGAAAAGTGAGGCATTAGTGATGGTGTCTCCAAAAAGTTTCTCTGACAGACAAAAATCATATCTTTGTTGCCACAAATCCAAATCTACAGTAGACCACCTCCTTATTACATGCACTTCACTTTAACATGCAGAAAAAAAGAAAGTTATTTGAAGACAGCTATGTTAAGGGAGTGAAAGGAATCGGGGCAAAGACTTACAAAAGGGCAGTGTGCATGGCCCTCTCTTAGGGCTGCTCAGAGGGATGGTCCACATCCATGTCCTCCCTTCTTGATCTTAAGCCACCTGGACTGCTCATGAGGGTGTAGGAGAGGAGAAGATGCATAACCCTGTCTCGGACAAAGGTGTTATTTAGCAAGTCCTGCCAAGGTTGCTGGGGCATGAGGCCACGGCCTCACTGGAGGGAATATACTCTCCAGGATCATCTTTACCTTTGTGACTCCATAGATGAAGGCAGCTAACTCTGACCCCACTCAATTTGGCTGGCTGGACAGAGGCAGGTCAGGTCACAAGTCTCAAAGTCATGTAGGCTTCCTCTTTCGCACTCTTGTCAATGGCACAGAGCTCTCCTCTGAATACAGTTCTCTGCCGGACTCAAGAGGAATAACCCTGTTTTTCGACTATACAACTTTCTTCCCCTACACGCATCTGCTCTTTCTTACGACTTTCCTAGGAGCCTTTGATCACAGCAGAGCTGAAGAGGGACGGTGGCATGTCAGTGCTTCAGTGCTATCCTCCAGGTAATAAAAACCCTCCTCCAGCTATTGTTGGGTTCCCCTAGCCTGCCCTTTACTCTCTCGTATAGCAGATTTCAGAAAAGCTGTAGACTTGGGTGCCAGGCAAGGTGGAAATCCATGTTTATAATCACAAATGATTTAGGAAATTGGAGCCTCACTCCCACAACCCGGGCTCTGGGTTCACCTTCCCTCTGGTCTTTTCTGTCGGGATATGGAAAGCTGAACAATGCTCTGAAAACACTTGGGTTCCACAGTTACTATAACAACTACAATAAATGTTGGAGATTCTAGAATGATATCTCAGCAAGTCTTTATGGGTGCGAAAATATTTTCAATACAAAAAGGAGAGGGGAAAAAAAACCACCCCTGATAATTAATATAGAGAAAAACTATGAATCAGTCAATCCAGTAACAAGATTGTTCTAAAACATTTTAACTGCCTGGTCACCCAGAGTGGTCAGGATGAACTTAATTCTCAAGAGCTTGAGTTTTATATGTATAGGTATGGTACAATCGAAAATTCTGGAGATCAGCAACAATATTTACATAAAACAAGGGAGAGTAGAGGGAACAGATTTCAACCTTACTTACTTTGAGGCTAGAGAGACTCTTGAGTAATGACCATGAGCAGTGAATCCAGCTGTATCTCATGTAGGCATGGTTTATAATATTTTTCTTACAGAGAGCAGCCACCTCAAACTTTGTGTGTTACGATTACTCAGAAGAGGGCCTAAGGGACAATGCCAAGGTCCCAAGTTATCCAGTTCTAAGGAATCCCACCCTTGCTCCATAAGGATATTAAATAATGACATTCTGTTTATAAAACAAGTAAGAGCATTTATTTTCCTATTTTGAATGTGTGTTAGTCACTCAATCATGTCCGAACCTGAGACCCCATGGACTGAAGCGCGCCAGGCTCCTCTGTCCATGGCACTTCCCAGGCGAGAATACTGGAGTGGGTTGTCATGCCCTTCTCTAGGGGATCTTCCCTACCCAGGGATCAAATCCATGTATCTTGCGTTGCAGGTGGATTCTTTACCATCTGAGCCACCAGGGAAGCCCTATTTTGAATAGTGTCATGAAATCAGTTATCCTGTTACCAGGATAAGAAAGCGAATCTTTGCTATTAATAACTTGTTTCATGGAACTGTATCTGTTCTGTAGAAACAGAAAAGGCTATGTAAACATAAATTAAAAGATATGAAAAACACTGATATTCCTGGAGAGTCTGATGCTTCTGTCTTAGGCAAGAAGGCAAATCATGTCCATTGGTGTGATAAGCCATTTTCGCTTTGCCGGTCAATATCTAGTCAAAAAAGCCCGGTGAATTAGCAATGTCTATACCCGTAACCTAAGGTTTTGAAGAAAACACACTTTTTTTGTTTTAGCATTCTTCACACACACAGTTTATTTGTTTTGCTTTTGCTCTAAATATTCAGGACACAGAAATTAAAAAAGGATGTATGTTTTGAACTTGTATTAGATGAGTTCGGAAATTTTGATTAACGAGAACTGTCAACTGATTAATCTGAAATTTCGTATGACGTGGATGTAAACAAAATTGGGAAAACTGAGCTTTGGGAAGTATCATTTCAAAAATGGTTATTTTGGAAAAGTTCACAAAGAAGCCCTCTAGAGAAATGATGTAAGAAGTGCCCCACCGCTGCCCCCACCATGAGAAGAGTTGAATAAGGTCCCCGTGAACTTTAAAGTGAAGCAGAACAAGAGAAAAGTATTTCTAGTATCTTTAGAGCAAACATTCAGAGGAAAGATTTAGTAAAGACAGAAGAGGTTCTCCAAACAGCGACACTGCAGGGCACTGACAGCATTAAAACGTTTGAAATGATGACTCCAGGCAAACCATCAGGCCCCAGGTATCCTATGGCAAACCGAGGGCAGGCCACCAGCTCTCCTGGGAGCTGTTGTTTAGATTAAAACATTAAAAAATAGGTTAAAATCCTCCAATGAAGTCTACAGGGAAGAATAAGGACTGTTACTACAATATATTCCTAAGGCTCACATCTAAACTGTCTTGAATCACAGGTGCAAATGCCCATACAGGTACACTGATTGTGGTCTGGTTTTAATGGCCACCCATTCCAGTGTTCTTACCTGGGAAATCCCATGGACGGAGGAGCCTGGTGGGCTACATACAGTTCATGGGGTTGCACAGAGTCAGACACAACTGAAGTGACTTAGCACGCATGCACTGTATTACACTCACTGCACAACTTTCTAAAGCACTGAAGTATATACCCCAGCTTTCCACAGAACATAAGAAATGCTTTTACCTCTAGCATTCAACAGGATTTTCAAACCCAACTTCCTATAAGAGTTGTTGCTCTTTTAAACCCCTTCCAATTTTCTTGAATTGTGACCACTTAACTTTCGGCTGGCACTTCAACAGCTCAAAGGGTACCTGTAAAATCCATCTTTTCACTTGGCTCTGTCACGGAAAATTGCTTTATCATACTACCTCGTTTTGAGAAGAAAATGAAGACCTTACTAAGTAACTTCTTTTTTTAAAAACTAATATAATTTTTTGTTTATCAGGATTTAAAGTAACTACTTCACTATTTGCCTCTTGACTGAAGCCCTTATGATCGAAGCCCAAGGTTTCTACCTGTGGACCATGTGTGTGTAACAATAGCCTCGATGGCCAAGAGAATGGGATCAGGGACACCCATCCATCAAACTTGTGAACTGATGGTCAGCGTTGCATGACATTTCCAAACTGGAGGTCCCTTCTCTGTTAGGACTGGGGTAGAGAGGAGTATGGGGACGTCTAGGGGATGAATTCCTCTGATTGTAAAGAAATGATGATCAGTAAAGACAGCTACTGGAGACTCTCCCTCCTTTCAGAAGTTTTACTCACAACCCAAAAAGATCTTTTCTCCTCTTCCCAATATCCCTCCTATCTTTTTTGTTAAGAGAGCAATCTATGCCATCAGGTTCCAATCTCCAAAATACTTTGATTTCTGTCTTAAACAAATTGGGAACTGTTAGCAAGGTATAGGAAAACAGAGATAGGTGGGCTAAATCCTCATTCTCCTTATGAAATTATGTGGTTTTGTTTGCTGTTTTTGTTTCTTTTTTGAGCCACACCATATGGCTTGTGGGAGTTCAGTTTCCTGACCAGGAATTGAACCTCAGGCCCTCAGCAGTGAAAGTGTGGAGGAGCTGTAACTACTGGTCAACCAGGGAATTCCCTGAAGTTGTATTTTTTGAAAAATGTTTTCTGGTGTCCTTGAAGCTCCAAACATAAAGTACTACTGTCTGGGATACACGTTTCAAGGCTGGGCTTCTACATCCAAATGACATTAAGGAATTCTACAAATATGCACTTTGGCACAGTGTCGCCCAGACACGTACATTCATTACAAGGCTGACCAGTGAGTTATTGTAACATGGCACCTGTCTCCAGGCTAAACCAAAAATGGGAGCCTAAGGGTCCCTCAAACTTTCTTCACTAGTTGGTTGTGACCTGAAAAACTCAGGGAAGATTATTCAAATATTACATCTGAACACTTGTTTTTATATTCTAAAATACCCAACAGAGACTAATAATACACAGTTCAACCTAATGAGTGCTGAAAAGTGGAGGAACATCCCAGTATTTGACAGACAGGAGATCATAATATCACTTGCCCAATGCCCTTCAGCAAGACTTCCAGTTCACAAGGGGACCGTTTTAATCTAGTCAGTTTCCATGACCCTGTGTGCGCATGTTAAATCGCTTCAGTCGTGTCCGGCTCTCTGCAACCCCATGGACTGGAGCCCACCAGGCTCCTCTGCCCATGGGGTCCTCTAGGCAAGAACACTGGAGTGGCTTGCCATGCCCTCCTCCAGGGGCCCCAGTTGGTTTAAAAAATGTCGACACAGAAAAACAGATGGAAGACAGGAAGAAGAGACGTGAGAGCCGATGCGGTGACACGGAAGGGCGTGACTGTCGGAGGCTCTGCAGAGGGCATTTATACAGTATTTAGAAATATCACTTCCTTTGCAGATGAGGTAAATTACCTAGGGTTCAAAAATAAAAGCAAAAGAATCTGGCAACAGTTAAGAAATCTCCAAAGTTCAAAGGGAAGTTTAAACCAATCACACTCATGGTTAGATGAATAAATTTAAAGTCATTCTACAAAAAATCCCTCATTATTTTTTATTTTGCCATACCAGGATACATTAAGAGTAACTGAGAGTCCAGAAGAGAGTAGGTTATTATGGAAAGCATTTCCCTTGGCCCTTAAAATCACTGGGTTTGGGTTATTCACTGAGGAGTTCTACTATAATCAAGTTTTCCATAAGAAGAGAAGTTTTAGCCACTGAAATCTAACAGATATTTTTCAGTGGTACCCTGTAGAAAAGGAAAAAGAAAACACCCTTTTGCGTTTGCAAAATGATTAGTCTGAAATGAACAATACTACCTCCAAAAACAAGAGAAAAGGCTAACTAGTTCAAGTCAGAAAGCCAGGGAAGAGGTTTCCAAGGCCCTTTTATTTGGGGACAGTCCCCTTTACAACACACGACTTCACTATGTGTCAGACAATCAGATCAGTTCCTAAAAATCAGAGGGGGGAGAAAAAAGGAAAAACAAAACAGATGCCTTTTACATATATATTAAACATAAATTAAAAGAATTTATAAAAGGGTCACGTTTCTTACAGAGTAAATGCAGAGTGTATTTTGAATGCACCTCCAGGTTTAAGTTGTTTAAGTTGTTTGTGTTTAGCTTTCCGATAATAAATAAATAACATGGACGATTAGGTCTTGGATCCACCAGCGCCACCGCAGGACTCTGAGTCATTACTGGCTCTTCTTCCCTTGTCGCTCCTGTGCGTAGCGTTGGCCTGGACCAGTTTCACCGGCCCATCAAAGTACTGGCTATCTTTGCGGGGTGGCATCCGCTCATTAATTCGGTCCAGACCTCGGGCTTCTTCAAAACTCCGGATCCTGTGCTGAAGCGAAAAGCCTCTGATGGCTACAGGGAAACAGGAAAGGGAGGCGCTCCATTAGACATCGTTTGGGTTTCTTAGCATCCAGCAAGCTCCGAGAGGAAAATACAGAAGGGGGACTGTGGAGCACATGTCTGGTGAAGGCGATGAGCAATATTTGATTTCAGTTAGCCTGGTCTGAAGCTATTGTTTTCTTAAGGCCCCAAGGGCCACTGAAACTGTGAAAGTAATTTTCATAGTTCAGTTCATCACAGCAGAAGTGGACCTGACAAAAAGCCCCCAATATCTCTGAAAGAGTCTCTACGGGCCAGAAACGTGCTCAGAGAAAGGAAAGAAGGCAACACTAGAATAGAGAACAAGTGAAGCAGACTAGTTCCTCTAACACAAACATCACACTGACCACACAAAAAAGTAACAAAACAGCTAATCCGTTTGTTTAGGATAGCTTTTTTTTTTTTTTTAATCTTGCAAAACCAGGAGCTGAACATAAGTTAAAAACCATCTAAAAAAAAATAGTTTCCAGGTATTTTCTTTCCGTCTGAACTTCTGTATCACCAAGGAAAGGCATTCCTAGTGTGAACCACCTTCTCTAACAGAACAATTAAATTTATAACACAAGCTTATCGATTGTGATGATTTTCAGCCTCGGATTCATAGATAATTTGTTACTTAAAATTTGTGTAATTTAGCTTGGCTGACTGAGGGCAACCTCAGAAACAAATCAGACTGCATTCCTATCTACTATTGCCTCCACTTTTGATATGTTTCAGAATCATTAGATAAAGAGGTTGATGGTTTGAATTTCCAATAATTAAATGGATACCTCATAGCTATGGAAGGGCTATCAGACGGCACCATCTGAACACCCCATGACTGGTTGCTTAAACTTCAGCCACTGCATTAAAACTGAGAGAGCCCAGAAAGGACTTTGGCTGTGGAGAGGGTCATTTGAGTTAATATTACACAAAGGAAGAACACAAAGACAGTGCTTTGTGAGCGTAGCTAGAGTTATCCTTCCCTTTTCTCAGTGTTACCAGTTCTGGTGATGCAACAGTAAAAGATGTCTAGCATTGACAGAGCTTTTTTAAGAATAGACAGACACATGACCACATCTACCGTAGGAACACGGCCATACCTTCCCGAGCCTGTACCGCTTCTACTGTGGCTGTAACAGACAGGAGCAGTGGCATGCAAAAATGAAGACAGAGAAAGAGTGAGTAAACAGCAGCACCGCGGCAGCACAGACACCCCGGGGCCCGACCTTTGAGCCTGCTTGCATCCAGGGTAAAAGTGAACCAGTCAGAGAAGTGAGAGGAGCACTGCGAAAAACTGAACTGGGGGTGGGAGGGGTTTTCACACTGTAAGTGGCATGAGAACCTTTTAGTTAATGGCATCCACGGCTAAGACAGTCAAGCTGACTCGGAGAAACGAAATGCTGCTTTCCTCATTTTAAATACCCAGCTGCTAATTTACACCTTGACATTCATATATCAAAATACTGACATGTCCAGTCAAATCACCTGATATTACAACCGTTCTTTAGTTTGTGATAGTTCAGATGGTACTAAATGAGCTGCGGCTGCATCCTATTAGAAAAAGTTATTTAAAACTATGAATGATTTCAAGCAACTTGTATAGGGTCTAGCTATCCTTTATAATTACTTAATAAGGGTGGCTTTTGCTACAGTAATTATCCTCCAATTAAAATAAATAAGTAAATTTTTTTTTTTTAAAGAGCAGCTTCTGAATAACAGACTGGCATTTGGAAGAAGAGAAAAAATGGAATATAAGTGAGAGGTCTTTCTTTTCCAAGGGGTGAATTACTAAGCTGGGAAAGGCATAAAGTTATTCCATTTTGAATACAAATTCATGTACCATCTGGAATTAGAGGAACAGCAGAGGCTGACATATCCAACTTACACGGCTTCCATCCTCCATGTGAGAGAGCAGGCCAGTTACTAAGAAGGCCCTCTTCTTTGTGACGGAAAAGGAAGCTATTTAAAAATTAATACTAACATGTAAACTTTCCTGCATTTGTTTTTTAAGACAGTTTAAGTCCCCTATATATAAACCTTCAAGCCGAGAACTTTCAAAGATCTGAACATGTGTCGTCATGTTCAGTCATGTAAGTTAGTTTAAGTGAAATTGCAGCTTGTCTTCCACTGATTGATGATTCTTCAGTTCTGCCATCTCTCACCTCCTCCAGTCAGCAACTCTTCTTGCCTGTTCACTCGATGCCAGCCCCTATATACCAGCTGTTATACTGTATTTTTCAAGGTACTGTGCTGTGAGATGAAAAATGTTTCCTTTGTTTCTGCGTTTGTTTTTCATGTATTACATGAAATTAGTTGGGTACCTAGGCTACCTTTCTTGGACTCATAAACAAACTGGACATATGAACGTGCTCTTGGAATGAAACTTATTCTTATGTAGGGGACTTACTGTATATGAAAAGGTTACAGGTTGTAGCAAGAAAGAGCTTATTAGGAAAATCCTGTCAGCTCCCCCAAAACTAATTTTTTAAAAGAAGGCAGGGAAGAATAATGAACAATAACAGTTTGCTGTTCCTGAAGCTTTTTATAATCAATAATAGAGGAAAAACTGTAAGAACTGAAAATTAACTTCCGAATGCAATGTGAAAAATGGCAACTTGGAATCAACTTATCAAGTGAGTGTTTACACTTGTCAACCATATGTTGACATGTGTTAAAGCAATGCCACATCCTCCCAAATCCCCTCACAGAGAACAAACAAACTCTCAGAAGAAAAGGACAGTGCCTTCAGACAGGATACTTTAACAGCAACTGTTAGGAAGTGAGAGAACAAAGCTTTACCTGAAATTGTATACAGAGTGTTGGTTTAATTAGACTTTAAAAGCTATGTTTGCGGTAAAATGTGTACTAGTATCACATTATTTGGGGTCCTCCTAGAATTGCTTTTTGCATTGGGTATTACGATATTAGCCTGCATGAGGCATATTCTTTATAAGTAAGAGTCATATAAAACTGAAGAACTGTTTTTTTTCTCCCTGTATTGAAATACTTTTCTTTATTGAATGAAATTTCTTTACTGAAATATAATTCATAGACCATAAAATTCATTTGTTTAAAGTGTCCAGTTCAATGATTTTAGTATATGTAGAGTTGTGCAGCCATTACCACAATCTATGGTTAGAACATTTTCATCACCGCCCCCTCCCAAAACAAACCATCTCCCTCCCTCATTCCTTCACCTAACCTTACAATCAATCATTCATCTACTTTCTGTCTCTACAGATTTGGCTGTTTGACATGTCCATAAACGGACTCATACACCACGTGGTGTTAGTGATCGGCTTCTTTCACATAGCAAGACGCTTTCAAGGTTTATTCGTGCTGAGGACTGTGTCAGTGTATCATTCCTTTTAAGGACTGAATAGTATAGTTCATTGTATGGACATACCACATGTTGTTTGTCTATTCATTAGGTGATAGACATTTGTGTGGTCTCCACTCATCGGCTATTACAAAGCATGCTGCTGTGAACATTTGTGTACAAGTTTTTGTGTGGCTATATCTTCATTTCTCTGGGTATTAACTAGGAATAGAACTTCTGGGTCATATGATTAACTGTTTGTTCAATCATCAAAGAAATTGCCTGATTGGTTTTCAAAGAGCTGCTCCATTATACATCCCCACCAGCAGTATATGAGAATCATAATTCCTCTCCATTCTCACCAACACTTGTTACTGTCTGTCTTTTTGATCACAACTATCCAGTGGGTCTTTAATTAAAGTGGTGTCTCATTGTGGTTAATGTCTAACGATGTGGAACATCTTTTTACATACTTATTGGTTATCTGTATGCCTTCTTTGGAACAATGTCTATTAAATTTTTTGCCCATTTTTAATTGGGTAATTTGTCATATTGTTATTCAGTTACAAGAGTTCTTCACAGTTCCTAGATACTAGTCTCCTATCAAATATATGCTTTGTAAAGATGGGGTTGGCCAAAAAGTTCCTTTGGGTTTTTCTGCAAGATGCTATGAAAACACCCAAAGGAACTTTTTGGTCAATGCGGTATTTTCACCCATGCTGTGGGTTGTCTTTTCACTTTCTTAATGGTTCCACTTGTAGCACAAAACTTTAAAACTTTCAATGGAGTGCCATTTATAACTGACCTGTTTTTGTTTTTCTTTTTTTAATCTTATGGTCTTTCTTCTTTATTTTGGCTACTTGGAAGCCTGGAATTAAATGTGTGATTATTGTATTTCACTGGTTTGTTTTCCTTTGTGCTCCAGTTTCTCAGCGTATTTATTTCTCCCACCAAGCTGTGACTTACTCAAGTCCCCCTGGAATAAGGTGGAGTATAAATGAACGTAGGCTATAAGGCCATATGGGATGGGACCTTGTTCACTGAAGGCTGTTCAAGTAACGTTATATGAACAACAAAAGGTCTTTTCAGCTAATGTGCCTTTGTCACTGAACCTGTGGAACTAAGACTCTGATGGGAAAATGACAAAATTAACTCAGTTCTTGCAAATCAATGAGAGAATAAGAAGCTCTGAAAAGTTTGCTGCAACTTTACTTATGTTCTGACACATTCCTGAGCTTTCTATCAATTTTCGAGTATCAATGCTGCTGCTAAGTTGCTTCAGTCGTGTCTTACTCTGTGGGACCCCATACATGGCAGCCCACCAGGCTCCTCTGTCCCTGGGATTCTCCAGGCAAGAATACTGGAGTGGGTTGTGTCAATAACAATCTTATATTGAATAAAACATTCATATTCAAGTCAGGAATGAAGAGAAACTGCATATATTTGGGACTGAGAACAAAAGGCAGACTAAGGGTTATAAACAACAAGTCTCCAAACAACACATCTATAAAATTCTGTTAGTTATCCCAGATTCACCGATTTACTTCTTCAAATCGAGATCTAGAAAAATTTGATTCAGATTAAAACAACTTTGTGGATCAGCAAATTTTCGAAACATTTCAAGCAAGGATGTATAGGATGTTCCTTTTTTCCCTTACCCAGGTTACTTCCTATTAACTCTAAAATGCCTTGTCAGAGTTGCTCACAATATCTCACATGACTAACAATGAAGGAATGATGGAAAAGTATTTTGCTTACAAGAAACTGTGCATTTGAGACGAAAAATTCAATCGGAAACAATATTCTTCCTATGAAACTACAGAAGCTAAGAAAATTAATTATATACTTCTAAGGAGAAAATATTCATTCTTCCTCATAAATAAGCTCTAATATTTCAGTACTTGATTTGAAAGAGAAAAGAGGAAACCAATCCTATAAAAAGTATGGGGAAACGAGGCTGTTCCTAAGAATCAATAGTCTTTTGGAATATTCACAAAACACAAAGAATTCCTATAAGAGGTATTCCTATAGGAGAAGAGGAAAAAAGAAAAACTGAAGTAGAAACAATTAAAAAAAGGGGGGGCAAAAAAGCAGTGAACTCTAAGTTGTTAATGATTCAACTCCAGTTTTCAAGCCTAGAATTTGTCATCCAGTGATCTGATCTCATGTCTCTTCCCCCGGCTTGACCAGATCTGTTTATTTTGATAAACATCAACCTTTTCATTCCTGGGTTCTATCAAGCCCTCTCCTTAGGAAGTCAGCACCCATATGATTTTCAGAACTGACATTATGGTTGAAGAGGTGACTGTGGTACTGTTGCAGGATATGGTTTGCAGGCAAAAGAGGCAAACTCCTTCTCTGACTGAGGAACTTTAACTGCCACCCCCACCCCCATCAAATTAAGATTATAAAATGCACACAAGTGAGGCACATGCTATGCACAGATCTGAACTGCACTGCTTAATACATCTTTATATATATGCATGCACTTGTGTAACTACCACCCCAACAGTGATACAGAACAGGACTCCTACTCCAAAAGTCCCCTGTGCCCTTTCTGGGTCCACATTCTCCCACCAGAGGGGCCATTTTGACTTCTTTTACTATTTATGAGTCTGCCAGTTGTTGTTGCTGCTGTTTTTAAAGCAGAAAAATAATTTATTCCAGAAGAGAGCAGAAGTAAAGTCACCCTGAAATACACTCAGGCATAATCCTGGTGGGACAGACCTGCCTGCTGGGCACGTTCTTCTGCTGGCTGCCCCACTGTCCTGCAACAGCTCTCAAACCCCTCACTGATGCTCACGTGGTGAGCAGGCAGGAGCAGCCTTCAGATCCACAGGTTTCACAGTCACGTATTCTTAATACAGTCATGTATTTTTCTTAGAAAAACAGAACTTTTTTTTTCATTTCATTATTTTTTAATTGTATTTTTTTTCTAGAAGAGCACTTCCTTTCTTTTTCTTCATTATTTAATATTTTTAAGCTCTCCTCTACCCCCAAGAACAGCACTTTCTGTCTCAGTTCAGTTCAGTCACTCAGTTGTGTCTGACTCTTTGCAACCCCATGGACTAGAGCACTCCAGGCTTCCCTGTCCATCACCAACTCCTGGAGCTTGCTCAAACTCATGTCCATTGAGTCGGTGATGCCATCCAACCATCTCATCCTCTGTTGTCCCCTTCTCCTCCTGCCTTCAATCTTTCCCAGCATTAGGGTCTTTCTATCTCAGTAGAGTACGCAAACATTTTATGGAGTTTCTACAGTTTACGTTAAGTGGGTACACAATTCGTCAAATGGTGAAAAAAGGTGACAGGGAAAATAGTACTACTGCATTGTAGAGTAAGCCGTTCCAATGTGCTGTGAATATTTAAGGCAGTGGATGGCCAAAGTAGGCACATCAAGGAAGGTGGTCAGGGTGTCGAGGTGATTTTACATCTCTTCGTGACTAGAGACAACAGCTCAGTGACCAGGTCACCAACAAGGGGATGATAATTCCCTGGTTGGGACCCTCAGGGATGAACCAGGGCTCCAGGAAGCTGACGAAGCCCCAGGAACACGTTCCTCATGGTGAAGGCATCATGAGGCTGTGCACCCCATGGCTGTGGCCAGAGCTGCCAGCCCCTGCCCCACACCCTCACTTTGGTCCCACCCAGAAGTGTTCGTCTGCCTGCTCCTGAACATCACACAAGTCAAACAGTCTGTGTTCTTTTGTATCTAGCGTTTTTAGTTAAACATGGTATCCATGAGATTCAACCACATATTCATATTATTTTTTGGTATATATTCATGATGTTACCTTTATCGCTGAGTAATACTCCATTGTATAAATATTAAGTGGAATATTTTTGCATGTATTCATAATGCTTTTGCATAGATTCATAATGTTATTTTTATTGCCTGGTTATAGGGTAGACAAATGTTTTGATTTACTGCCCAACAATTTTCTGAAGTAGTTGAATCAATTTACAAAGGCACTGGCAATAAATATACCTAGTTCTCCAAAAACTCACCAACACTTGATATTGTCACACTTTTAAATTTTAGCCATTCTAGAGGATGTATAGTGGTATCTCACCATGGTTTTATATCCATTTCCCAGAAGAGTAACTATTTTAAGCATCGAATTTTCATATGCTTTTTGGTCATTTTGATACTCTCTTTTGTGAAGTACTGTTAAAATTTTTTGACCATTAAAAAAAATTAGCATTCATATTTTTCATATGGAGTTGCAGTTCTTTATAGACTCTGAATGTAAGTTCTTTGTCAGACATATGTACTACAAAAATCTCTCAAGTTTACAGTTTGTCTTTTCCCTTTTTTAGTTATGAATTTCTGTGAACAGACGTTCTTAATTTTAATGAAACTCATTCATTAACTTTTTTCTTTTAATGTTAGTGCTTTTTGTGCTGTATTTAAAATTTTATCTTCCTCAATGCTTAGTTTGCATATCTTTTTCTGGGAAGTTTTTTTTTTTTATCTTTCACATTTAAATTATAATTCATTTTGATTTAGTTTTTGTACATGGCGAGAAGGATCAATCCATTTTCTCCCCTCCAGAGATGGATATTCAATTGCTTCAGTGCCACTAACTGAAAGGAGCCTTAATTTCCAATTTGACACTGATGCTGGATAACAGGAGCACACGTTCCATGAAAGAAGCGTTGCTCATACTCACCTGTCTCAATGGTCTGCTTTCCTCCTGAGAGGACACCCAAAGGGAGTGTCCCCGTAGGAGTCAGGCCCTTGAGAGTTAGCACGCTCTCACTCTCTTCCCTGCAAAAGAAGATCAAAGCCCCGGGTTAATGCCAGGCAGGGTGTCTACCACTCAGTATCTACAAAGATACTTGAAAGAAGACAAGAAAAGATGCACAAAGATGGAGGATAGGTACTCCTTCCTCTACCCCTGCCCTGACCCCAAAAAGGGATGTTTTCTGTAAATATTTCAACTTTAAGCAATTAGCCAGGCCCTGCTTTTCAATTAGAGCCACTTAATAGTCAGGTGTTAATCTATGTTTTGCATATATTACTTTGCATAAAAGATAATAGCAGGATCTGCCTTTCCTTAAAAGGCAGATCCTGCTATTATCTTTTACAGGCCAAGAAAATGAGGCATAAGATCACATGGCTGAGAAGACACAGGGCCAGGATGTGAACAGAGGCCGCTGAGCACCAGAAATCACTGGAATGAAATCACCAGCACTCACTGCACTGTATCTAAGCTCACACCAAATAAACGTTTGCCAGAATTGTTTCTAGTCACTTTAACATGTAGGACTGATTCATTCTGCATTCAACCCAAAGACCCACAGTTTTGATACCACACTCCAATTCTAAAACTACCGATCTGAAATCAACTTCTAAATCCCTCTCAAAACATGATTATTGCACACCATAATGACAAGACTTCTCCTTACCGAAGAATTGAAAAGACCCGTGCCATCTTCCCAATAGCTCTGATTTTATTTTTGATGATCTCCTTGCGAACTGTAGTGCCTCCTTAGAGAATACAAACAATATGTGAGCTGAAGGACTATGTTAACAGGTTTAAAAAAAATGCAGGATGAAGTGCCTCTAAGTTAAAGAAATGGTTTTAAACAAAGAAATCAAGGCTTAAGTTTGTCTAAACAAACAAAAAACCCAGGAAGTTTTAAGGAGCAGGAGAAAAAAAATAAAGATGAAGTAAAAAAATGGAGGGGCCGCCAAAAGGACAGAGTGAGCAGATTTTTGAAGGTAGGAGCTTACTGGTGTTTCTGAAAGGTAGAACACAGTGAAGAATGAAATACATATAAACAAAGACAGTTGGTACTGCAGCAAAAATATCTCTTGAGAATGCCGTGGGCCACCTTACGATGCAGGACTTGGTCAACCAAATGGCAAGGGATGACTTAAGCAGTTGTCTTCTACATGGAAACACAGCACATAGCTAGCTCTCCTGAATTGAGCAGGAGCTGCTTTCATTCTATCATCCTCACTGACACACTGGTGAGTTATTTCCAACCACAGACAGCTGTGCAGTACAAATGAGGATGATGGGTAAGGTATTTTATAAAACACCAAAAAAGTTAACAGAAGACTTTGTGGCCTTTTCTCATACCAGATTTAGGAAACAGCTCACACACCAGAAGTCAATGTCCAGGCATGCATCAGGTGGCTGCATTCAAAAGTCAGAAACTAAGAAACGTGGCCTCTCCTTCCTCACCCACCCAGCTCTCAAAATCCTGCAGGATCACACAGCAGGGGCCAGAGAAAACATATACATTAAAACAGAAAGGGAGGATGGAGGGCCTGTCTGAAATTATTCAACTATAACTAAAAAAGTCTAATTAATAGACCGTGATGAGACAGACAGCGAGTATTAAGCTAGTAGCACATTCTGTTCAGATACCTTTCTGAAAGCTTGAAATGTAGTGATCTTCAGGGAGAAGAGACACCAAGAAACAAGGAGATGGAAATAGAAATATGGGAAGAGAAATTTAAGTTTGCATGGAAGAGAAAGAAAAACAAAATCAAAGTGAAATGCAATGAGAGAAGCAGGCTATTATCTTTATCAGCTCAGAAGAGACATCCTTGGTATCATGACAGAATATTAAATTACAGACTTCGTGCATGGAGTCTTCAAAGTTTTAAATGAATCCACATCTCTTATTTTCCAACTTACTCTATCCCCACAGATCATGAAGATAAAATCATCAAGGAAAAAAGATATTATTTGTGTAATAAATAATGCTGAAAACAATGAACAAAGGATAGAATGAACAGTGAATACATCTCTGAATGGAGCATCGTGTTTTTGTATGATGATCACAATTATCTTCTCATCTCCTTCTGGAGATATTATAGTTTTTCCATGTTTAAATTTTATATAGTCTTTAGAATCTCAAGTTCATCTATTTAGGTTGTTTTTTGCTGTTGTCTCAGAGACTCTACAGAGAAGTCCCATAATCCTTGGTGTTTGCTCATCGTTAAGAATGACAGACTGGAAAGCTTTCTGAACTGGTTGGCGGTTGACTGCTGACTTGGAGCTTTCTGTACATGGAATGATCAGGGTGGGTCTTTTTTTAGGGAATTTTCTGTATCAGTTCTGCGAACGCGTGCACATGTGCCTGTGTGCATGTTAGCTATTCAGTTGTGTCCGACTCTTAGTGACCCGATGGACTGTAGCGCGCCAGGTGCCTCTGTCCATGGGATTTCCCAGGCAAGAATACTGGAGTGAGTATGGCCACTTCCCTCTCCAGGGCAATCTTTCTGACCCAGAGATTGAATCCGGCTCTCCTGTGTTGCAGGCGGATTCTTTGAGCCACAGGGAAGACCACCGAGAATGTGTGGGATTACTTAATTTACCTGTTTTTGGCAAAGGTATCAATGCCCTCAACTGTATCCCTGTCCAGAAATTCTTTGGTTTGTACTATTTTAGATATTAGCCTCTGGTCTTGGGAGAAAAGACAGGTAGGACTTTAACTGCCTTTCAAATATCTTTTACCTGCTCTACTTATTTTAGCTAGGGGCCCATCTCCCTCTTCTCAATCAGTCCCCAATTCTAGCAACTGGTGTAGTCTAGCAATTCTTCTGCTTTTGAAGATTCTGTGCTGAACTCAGCATTCTACATTACTAAGCCAGGCTTCAGCTTTCTTGAATCAGTCAAGTTAGTCATACTAATTCATTTGTTTCCTGGCTTCCAAAATTCCTACAAAAATCTCTACATTTTTGTAGGCTTATAATTTCGGTTAAAAAAAAAACTCTTCTATTGTGAAGTATGATAAACATACGGAAAAGTACACAAAACAAAGACAGACTCAATGCTTTTTATTAAAACACAAATGGCCAAATAACCAGCCAGGACAATAAACAGAACCTTGCCAGCACCACAGATTTCCCCCTACTTGGGCCCCTCCTAATAATTAAGAGTCTCCCTCTTCCAAAAGAAAATTGTTCTCTTGACTTCTATTGGAATCACTTTCTTGCTCTTCTTTATAGTTTTACCATTTAAGCATGTATTCACAAGCAGTAATTTTAATTTTCTTTTTAATGTTATATAGTTGGAACAATCAAATAATGCATTTTTGTGTCTGGCTTCTCTTTTTCAACATTATGTTTTTAAGATTCATCCATGTTCCCCCTGCTCCTGTAGTTCACTGTCATTATTGTATACAATTCCACTATAAGAATATGTCACAATCTATTTATCCTTTTCATTGTCAGTGGTCATCTGGGCTGATTTCAATTTTTGGCTAATTCGGCTGCTATGAATATTCTGGTGTATTTCTCTTAGCTGCACATATTTATGCTAAGTACATTCCGAGAGTTAGACTGCTCAGATATAAGGTATGTATATGTTCAACTTTGGATAATGGTTTGGCATTATCCACTAAAGTGGATTATCAATTTATACTTTAGTATATGAGCATTCCTGTTGCTATACATTCTGGTCAACATTTGGTGTTATTCATGTTTAATTTTAGCCACTTTGGGAGGTATGCAGAATCACCCACTGTGGTTTTAATCTGCATTTTCAAAATGACTAATGTGGCTGAATAACTTTTCATATTTTTATTGGCCATTTGGATACCCTCTTTTGTGAAGTGCTCATTCAAGTCTCACCTCATTGATCACTGCAGTTTTTTATATATTCTGCAAGTGAACTGTTTTTTGGTTGTAGCAAATGCCCTCTCCCATTCTGTAGCTTGCCTTTTTTTTTAAACATTTAATTATTTAGCTGCGCCAAAGGTCTTATTTGTGCTTTCGATCTTCATTGAAGCATGTGGGATCCTTAGTTGTGGCATGTGAACTCCTTAGTTGCACCATGTGGGATCGAGCTCCCTGACCAGGGACAGAAGCCGGGCCCCCGGGCACGGGGAGTGCAGAGTCCTAGAGCCACTGGACCTCGAGGGAAGTCCCTGTAGCTGTCTTTACACACTTAGTCTTCTGATAAACACAAGGTCCAATTTTTAATGCAGTCTAATAATTTCCTATATCGCTAGTGTTTTTTGTGCATTGTTTAAGAAATTTTCCTCTACTTCAAGGTGATGAATGCATTCTATGTAACACATATTAGAAGCTTTATTGTTTTGCCTATCATATTTGAATGTGTTAGTCCATCTGGAATTTATTATTGGGTTTAGAGTAGGGGTTAGGTTTAATTTTTTTCTCAAATAGATATCCTCAACCATAATACCACCATTTTCCTATTACTCTGCAGAGATGCCTCTAGTGTAAATTAAGTGTCTATATTCATGTGGATCTGCTTCTGGATTCTCTGTTTCACTGCTCCTCTGTCCTTGAGCTAATAATTCCAGTTACTTTCTTCTTTGACCTTAAATATTTCCATATGAATTTCAGAAACTACGCTTAGAAGTTCCATATAAATTTTAGGGTTAAATTGTTAATATTTGACTTTGTATTGAATCTGCAGATCAATTTGGGAATAACATATCTTTATAACATTGAGTCTTCCAATAATCTATGGACATGGTATTATTTAGATGTCCTTTAATTTCTCTAATAATGGTTTAGTTTGTTGCTTAGAGGTATTGCACATTATTTGTTAGAGTTATTGCTAGGAATGATATTCTCAATGGCATCTTTTTAAAAATTTCATTTTGTTTGTTGCTGGCAAATAGAAATACAGTGATTTTTGCTTTCTGACTTTGTATCCAGCAGCTCTGCTACATCTGTTTAACAAATAATTAAACAATTCTAATAAACTGATAATTTAATAATTAATAATTCTAATAAATAATCTATAAACTTTTAAATTTCCTCTATATATAATCATATAAATAATGATCTATAAACCTATAAATAACAATCATTTTGTTCCTTCCTCCTCAATCTTTATACCTTGCATTTCTTTCTATTGCCTTACTGTACTGGCTACGACTTCTAATAAGATATTATAAAGAGGTTTTGATAGCTGGCATCCTTGTCTATTCCCAATCACTAAGGAAAGCTTTCAATATTTCACATATGATATTTGCTATAGGTTTTCACAGGTACATTTGTCAGATTAAAGAACTCCTTTCTAGACCTAGTTTAAAAGATCTATTGTAAATGAAGGATGAATCTTATCCAATGCCATTTCTATACCTGGTGAGGTAATGATTTTTCTCCATTTTTTCCCTTAATGCAGTGAATTATATTAATTGACTGCTTGATTAAAAAAAAAAAAACTTTGACCCATGCCTGCAGCATGCAGGATCTTAGTTTTCCAACCAGGGATCAAGCTTGTGCCTCCCGATTTGGGAGCATGGAGTCTTAACCACTCAACTGCCAGAGAAGTCCCTGTTGATTGATTTTTAATATATATATTTTTTACTTTTCAATAGTTTTAGCTGTATAGAAATGTTAAGATAGCATAGACAATTTCCATATACCCTCTCCTAGTTTCCACTATTATTAATATCTTACATTAGTAAGATATCTTCAAACATCTTATTTGAGTAAGTTATATTTTTCTAGAAATCTATTTTATCTAAGTTTTTAATTTTACTGGTATAAACTTATTCTTGTTATTTTCTTAATGTCTGTAGGATTGGAAATGAATATTGTCTTCTTTTTCAGTTCTGTCATTAGTTATTTTTGCCTTTTGTATCAGAGATTTATCAATTTGACTGAAATGGGTACATTCTGGTTTTACTACTCCCCTATCCTATATTTTAGTTTTTGAAGGGTGCCCTGCATAGCTTGTGGGATCTTAGTTTCCCGACCAGGGATTGAACCCAGGCCCTCGGCAGTAAAAGTCCCTCTCCTAGTTTCCACTATTATTAATATCTTACATTAGTAAGATATCTTCAAACATCTTATTTGAGTAAGTTATATTTTTCTAGAAATCTATTTTATCTAAGTTTTGAATTTTACTGGTATAAACTTATTCTTGTTATTTTCTTAATGTCTGTAGGATTGGAAATGAATATTGTCTTCTTTTTCAGTTCTGTCATTAGTTATTTTTGCCTTTTGTATCAGAGATTTATCAATTTGACTGAAATGGGTACATTCTGGTTTTACTACTCCCCTATCCTATATTTTAGTTTTTGAAGGGTGCCCTGCATAGCTTGTGGGATCTTAGTTTCCCGACCAGGGATTGAACCCAGGCCCTCGGCAGAAAAAGCACAGAGTCCTAACCACTAGACCAGCAGGGAATTCCCTATACTGTATTTCATTTCGTTTCTTATGCTTCTCTTAACTTCTTTATTTCATTCCACCTGCTTTCTTTAGGTTTAATATGCTAGCCCCTTTTTCTCTTAATTTCTTGAGACAGATTTTGATTTTTCACCTTTCTTCTTTTCCAACATATGCATCTGAGGCTATAAGTTTTCCTCTAAGTATGATGTTAGATGCATCTCTCAAGCATTATTGTTTATTTTTGTTCAATTTGAATCATTTTGTATTTAAGCACTGATTTTACAAAATGTGGTA